TTTGACATGGATTTACTCCACAAAAGTATAATTGTTCTTATGGAGTAAAAGTACCTATTATCCAAATACCTACAACATAATAACTTAAAGAAAAACCTGCGATGAACTAACCTGAATCTATCTTGATTGAACAACAGAATCCTACTGAACCGGAATCAGGGCTTTGTTTCCTTCGTCATTAGCTTGGACAATGGGTTGGAAAATTTGTATTTGAGCCTTAAAATAGTTGTGGACAACAGCACGCATAGAATCTTCGTAAAACACCTCAGTTCAAGTAGTTAACACTTCACTGCGTCGTAGCTATGCATCTAGAAGCCCATGGGCCATTCCCGAGCCCTATATTTGGATATGTCATCATGTCTTATTTAGGAGGTGTTGGCTCTGTGTCACAAAGGGCTCTTGTGGTGCATTTGTCATATTTCGATAACTCTAAACCGCAAAGCATGACCGCAATCAAGGTCTGGTTCACAGAGTGAGAAAAATTTTAACTACGTTTGACAAATACGCAAAGATTACAAAAACAAGAACTACCCTTAAGGCTATCAGGTAGCCTGTTGGTGCGCGTCTGTACACCTCCACGTACACTGGCTAAATATCAGCTACTACAGTATACCGCGCAATTCTAACGTCAACAACATGTTCCAAGCTTGCCCTTATGTGACAGTAGGTTTGTAATTTAGGATTTTTTCACCCGCGAAAGGTTGGTGTTCCCCAAAACACTCGGTGTCCTGAAAACAAGACCAACAACAAGACCAAGAAAACAAATACCACTAACCTGTGATCGGGCCAAGTTATAGCAGCTCTCATGCATTCGCTCTTCCGTTTTCGCGATAAAATTGAGCTTAATAAAAATCCTTCAGGTAAACGCGTCAGGCCATGTGCTGCGACTAAGTCATGCTAAGTGGTCGCAGCAGCTGATTAACTGTTGGAGGGATATCACAGGAACTGTCTATTTTTGGTTAGTTTTGCCGGTTTTGTGGTAGTAAATAATATATGTATACCGTATTTTCTCGATTAAACGCCCCCGGCGTTTATTTAAAACTTGGCCTCAGGGACCCAGCGTTTATTTGAAGCCGGGGGGGGGGGGCACTTGGGTATTTTTTGGGTGGGTATGTGCCGCCCGGGACTCCAAATTGGCACCCCGTTCTAAAAAAAAATTCCCCTAAAATTGATGCCCCGTTCTAGAATTCGCTCTAAAACTGATACCCCGTTCTAAAAATGGGCCAATTTTTTATACTCCGTTTTAAGATGCAAAGAGTACAACAGTTTGCTTGTTAACGCATTGAAACATGTTTTTAAACGTAATCTGACCTTGAATAATTTCAAATGGCTGCTTACAAAACTGGAGCTTTCGTGCATTCGAAATATTATACCCCGTTCTAGAAAACGCCTCTGAAATGGATACCCCATTCTAAATCAGGAGCTTCAAAATCACGACCCCGTTGGGCGGCACGTACCCATATAGGTAATGTATGGGAGTACCCCCCCCGGGATTTGAAGCCGGTGTTTAATCGGGGTCCGACGTTTAATCGAGAAAATACGGTATGTATAATTGCCCCCGCAGGGATTTCGCCCAGAAGGCGAAATTCCGAGGGGGCACTCTAGTAACTCGCGCGTATATTAAGGAAAGTACTTACAGTTGAAATATACAGTCATACAGTCAATATAGGAAAAATCTCGATTTGCTTGAACAGGGGCCGCGAGGAATCGGTAGGTAAAGATGACGTTTCTATTGTTTGCGCCCGTAAGTACGAAATGGTTAGGATGACGTAAAGACAGAAAATCCCGAAGGGACCGCCTAGGTAGATGTTGTGACATTTATTGTGCAGTCATATTTCGATACTCTTTTGCGTTACGTGTTATCAGTGATCATGACATTTTGTGGAGCAGTTGTTTTGAAAGTTATGGATCAAACAGGCACTCGTTTAGCGCAGATGAAGTTAGAAGGTGCATATAACTGTGTATATAGAAACACTTGGAGAGTTTGCCAGACACGAGTTCACAAATGTCACAAATCTCTGATTGGAGACCTTGCCGGACACTCTTTCTCTCTCTTTGACTGGACTAAGAGGCAACCCCAAACAAGCAAGACGAGTGAACATTGGCTAGCTTCTCACTAGCAGAACGATGGATGACTACAGAAATTCGCCGACAATCAAATTCTGTGATGACTTATTCGTTCATATTCCCTGCTCACAGATGTCCGTCTGCAATAATAAGTCTATAGAACTTATAGAATGCGCGAGCATGAGTTCAAACGTCCTTTTAATTTCTAAGGCTTCCTTTCCGGCAAATGAAATGAACTGAATGTAAAAAGTGAAACAAAAATAGCGAAAAATTCAACTTCTTATTAAATCTTTTCTTATGGTTTAGAATAAACTATTCTCGAAACTGAGAATGTTTTGATTAAAGCTGTGTAAATCGACCTGAAACTGTGCATGGAACCTTGCGTTTCCTGTATTTATCTCACCTATTGTATGGAATATATGTGTAAATCTTCCTTATGAATCGGTATATTTTTTAAAGAGCTACACAACGAGCAAGAATGCTATTGACCGATAATATACAGAGCGGGGGCAGCTGTAGTGTCCACTATTACTAGTATTAAAAAAGCCCTTGTTATTAGGTGTGGTAAATGGTGAGTACCGCTTGGGGAATGTAACGGAACAAATTATCCTTTGCGGCTGGGTTTGGACATGTTTTGTTCCCTAATGACGTCTATTTCTTTGTAGAATTATTTGACTTTCAAATGACGATGGTTACGTACTAAAATGCTCACGGACAGAGTTGATATAAAGGTTTTCAAAAAGGATGGTTTAATATCGGTCAAGTCCTTGTAACCAATTTGCTATTCAAAACGATACTCGATAGTGTGGCATGGCCTAGCTGGTATTTTTTGGGAAGTGCTTATTTCATGTTTACAACCAAAACGTTAACTGGGTACGACCTGGGCTGAGAAATATGCGCTTGATCTTACTTCTTGAGCTCAATACATAATCACTGTAGTGAAGAACCTGTCAGTCATTCGAGAGTCGAATCAAGTATGCGTACTATACTTCTAGGACTTGGGATCTAAGGATACCAGGGATCTCTTAATAGAATCTTGCCATGACATCAATCTATTTCCCGGAAGCTGCCTTACACCTTACCCTCAGTGTTACCATTGTCCAGTCGATGGCCAACAACCGGAGGTCGTTGTGGGCTGTCCGCTGCACAACGACATTGTGTTTTTTTTTTCTGTGAGTGACAAGTGTAAAGTTACCCGAAAACTAATGGGTAAAAACTATTTGAATCTTGCACTACGAGCCCCGTTTGTGTTCTTGTGTAATTTTAAGGTCAGTCAAACCTCCCGTAAGCAACACCCAAAATGCAAAGGTTTAGTGGTCGCTTACGGGACGAGGTCAGTTACGGGAACTGAGCCACAGGGATTCCCTTTCTAGAAGAGGTCCGCACAATCTACATGTTGGAAGATAATTCACCGCATACAATCTCTAAGTTACGATATGTGTAGTTTTAAGTTGTCGCTAAAAGTGCATTGGCGTATTTCTCTTAGTATTGGTAAGTACCGTCAGCGAACACAGACTGGTCAAACCATGCCTTGAGTGGTCGCTTACAGGAGGCAAAAAAAGAAATGGAAAATTCAAAGTCACTTACAAGAAAAGGTCTTTTACGAGCTAGAGGCTCCATCTTTAGTGATTTCAGTGCGAAAATTTCGGTGCTTTGGACAGGAGGCCGCTTACGAGATGTGGTCGCACCTGAAGGTTCGAATGTTGTTATTTTGATACAAGTACTTTCCTTAGTGTAAACAAGTTGGGCAAGGCTGAAACTGACTAATTTTACCTAACATTGACCACCCTTCCCTCATATCTTTGGTCAGGCAATTCCAGAATTAGAGTTGTTTTTCTTTGGTTGCTTTTTACAAAAAGAAAGCGTGGGCTTGTTGTGTTGTTATGGCTACCTTGGAACATGTTGCGAACATCGAAAAGAGTCAAAGAAAACCACAAATGGTTCTTTTTATTATTATTTTATAAAATTATATTTTAGTATTGTAAGTAAACACCAATACGTTGTTCCTAGCTACAATATAAAAATGCATTTGAAGTAAGCACTGAAATACATAGTTTAGTTATTAACGATTTATGATATTCAGCTGTATCTTCTGACCTTATATCGTTATTTTCTGTTACAAAAAGTACTTATCTCAGTCAAGATCCGGCTCTCTCAGATATATCCAAGTATTGGATAGACTTGACTTTATTGTAGTTTCCACGAACCAGCTCAAAAATTAGTTTACTTTGATTAGGTAGTTTATCGGAGCACAGAATGTTGATTCAGTACCTTCCGTTTATGGTCTCAGAGTCATCCGACTATTTAAGACATTACGAGTTTAACTTAACAGATGAAGTTTTACCCTAGGTACATTAAATGTGTGCGCAGAAAAGGCTCTAGCTGCACGTTCTTCTCCCCGCTTCACTGGTCTTTTGTTCTAACAGATATACAAAAACAGTACATGTACATGTAAAATGCTGTTCTTGGCGTAAACCTGTGATCACACTAACGTTGATAACCTCCTTGTCCTTCAGATCACTGCAGGTATTTCGAGCTAAAAGAATCGTTCAATATCTCGGGTATTACGAGGTTTAAAGGGTTCAAACAAGCCTAGAAAGGTTTTGAGCTCAGTTTGCGTTTCTTTGTATATTCCTTAAAGGATGTGGATAACTTCGAATTTATGACTATCATAACTTTTTGTTATCCTGTGCAAGTTCGTTTCTGAATTCAAATATCAGTCTCGAGCGTGATTTTTGAGATTGTTTAATTTAAGCTAGAAGCGCTTACTCAGGCGGCGATATCGTGATTCTATTTGTGCTAATGTTTTATTTGATTTTGTAAATCCTTAGTTTATAACCCTTAGTAGTAAACGGCCTTTGTGTACTTCATTTTGTGCTAGATATATGATACAATGTTTATGGTGTGGGGTGTTTAGCGTAATTTAAAAAAAGTCAATTGTCCTCAAATCTACTTGAAACTTCAGCGACGTCGAAGAACTCTACAAAATGCGTGATTCGCCGGTAGGTCGTAAAGCATTCTGGATACTCAGGGGCCTGAGTGACTTCGCCTGCTTGGTCTTGTGGGATAGCTTGGTACCAGGTGTCTTCCGGCTGTGATGGCACTGCTAAAGATTCCTGGCTCGTAATGCTTGGAGGTGGTGAATCACAGGTCAGTGACCTGCAACCGGCAAAGGATATGCACTAAGCAATCACATAACTTGGAAGCATTAACAAGCACCTCTGCTCAAGGCAGGTGCCTGAGAAAAACGGGAATTGATGAGTCCATTTTCGCCCTCCTGGCGGGCATGACTACAAGATTCAAAGGCTACAGTTATTATCTGTTTATCAGAGGTTCAGCAGGTTCCGATCAGATCATAGTTTGCTGATTTCTCACAAAAGTCGTTTAGGTCCGCTTTCCATTCACCCGTTACTCTAATATGGTGATGATTACATGAAAAAAAAAAGAAGAAGAAAAAGAAAATAAAAAAAACAGTTCATCATTTAGTGTAAAAAACTGAATTCTTACTTGATGATGGTTGAGTCAGGCTCAGACGCGTCTTGTTCCTAAGACGGAAAAATGTCAAAAAACAATAAATAAATGAAAATTGCAGTGATAATGGAAGTTTTGCAATTTTGGCAAAATTTGTTCCGCTAAATATTCTGCTACATTCACTGGGTGTTGTGTAGTGGCAGAAAGCAGTAGCATGCGACTTTTCGCTCCAGGTTTTTGTATGAGACGCAAGTTGAGTAATTTTGTGTCGCTTCCTTTCCCCAGGATAACCTTCCACCGCATCCTTGGGGACTCCATCAACGTAATATTGCGATGGGTTGGGGGAGAACAGGGAAGACCTGCAATAGACGCACACCAGTGTAGCAATACTCGTAAATGTTCTTTTCTAAAACTGTTGTTTCTAAGGGTGATGCATTGTCTATAGTTTATCATGCATTCTCTATGTAGATCGACAACAAAAAACGCCACTAGATGTTATAAATTCCCGAATTAAAGCGCGATCCTTTAGTCAGTGTCGAGGGCGAAGTCGAAACATCATGGTGGCATCGACAGGATTTCCCTCCGGTGTTCTTGAAGTTCTATTCAGCTTTTATAGAAGCGAGGTGGAATTCTGCTTTCGAAAGGCATAGAAGCAGGTCACTTTTGATCATATGAATATAACGGCGGAGTAAGGTCGAAAATTTTCGGGTTTCTCGGAAATCTTCAGAAATCTTCGGTAGTATTCGGAATCTTCAGCAGTCTTCGAAAATCTTATGACATAATCGGAGATTGTCGGAAATGGGTTGTTAACTCCTTAATATACTAAACAAAATAATATTGGCCTTTTGAAGCCGTTTTTGTTTCTTTCAGGAAAATATTTACTGTTACAGTAAATCTTTTGCTGTTTCGTGTTACAGAGCCAAAAAATTAAGTGTTTAGTATTATCGAGGTGTCCCAATATTCAGACCGTCAAAAGAGTACAGAGTACTTACCTCTGGATTATATTCGGTGAAGTCTGGCATCTCCAGGTCTTGTGGCTCCATAGCAGTGCTATATTAATTAAACAATACGGAATTGGTACACAAGCCTGCATTAAATCGGACTTTATAATATTTCTCTGAAAACAAACTTACAATTTGTTTTCCATGTTTGTAAACAGCTCCAGTGCAATGGCTATCCTCTTTAACATCAGGTAATTGTTGAATCCACAAATCTGTCAAAACAAATCATGCAGTCAACGCTGTAGTAATAGAGACCTTAGCTTCGAGGACGAGAACGACTACCCGTTTTTTCGCTTATTGTCAAAAAATAGACACCACGGAATTCTTCATTGTACTTTTTTTCACCAGGAAAGTTAGCATTGAAGGAGGTTGAGCCCTCTCCCGATTACAAAATGCTAAAACTTCATGCACAAACATTTGATAACTTGTTCCCGCCACTACGACACTCGCGCTAAAACTCGTAGTAGAATGACGACGTCTAATACGTTTTCCCGCCAAATTGACGCTGCCTCACGCGCGAGCACTACTTACTATTGAGAAAATCTCGTACTCGTAGTCGTTCTCGTCTTAGAATCGAAAGCTCTTTAATGAACCCTTCCCTAAAACGGACACCCTAAAAAAATTGTCCGGACCCGTGTAAACTGGGTTTAGCTTAAGCTCCCTAGTGCGCTCCCACTGCGTAGCAAGCATGGCTTGTTATGAATGCATACCTTCAGGTTATACACTGTACTGTCCTCTTTTGTCATCTTTGGACCAAAGCACTGTAAGTCATGAACACCTGCAATACCAGCCAGGCCTTGATCATCTAAACACAAAATTTGGCCACGTCAGACGCTGAACTTTTGCTGAGTGAGTCAAACTTGATTCTAATTTTACAAGTGATTTTAGAGGCACTCTTTTATTTTTGTTATTCGTGCCATTCTGCCCTACTTACGACATTTTACTTCACCAGCGACCCGAAAAACTGGTTTCTTAAGCCGACCGATATCAATAAAAGTACGCTCGTTGATTTAGACACAGATCTTGGTTAGCCGAATTTCTTAGAGTCTTAAGCCGAAACTCGTAAAATTGTCACTTTTCCGTCTAAATCATAGCCGTTCTAAAGGTGAATTCACGACAGGGCATTGAGGGAAGAACCGTAGTGAACGATTTCAAAATGAAGTACAAAAATTAGTCATCCTTTGTAACCAATTCCCTAGACGTCGAAATGTAGAATCGACTCATGTAAAGTTCCACGTCTGAGCCTGCCCTGTCTCCCCCTTCTTTTAAGTTAAATTTAACTTGGACCTAAAATTTGCTCATTCTAACGCTATCTGTTTTTAACATTATTGTACTAAAGTCAGCAGCGGTAATTACCGTTAAGAATGGGGAATTGGAAATTACGACTGGAAATTCAAAGGGCTTGCGCCATCGTAGAAAATATGAGCTGTGAATTGAGGCAGTGGAACTCTCCTATTCGTTCTCTTTTTGATCCTTCTCCCCAGAAGTTCAAATTCTATTTTTAATTGTTTATGCGCGAGATTTTCAGATGGGTGACCGATTTGTGTATACCACGATTAAGGCTTGTTTACCAGTGATGCCCTACTAAAAGTTGCATCGACCGTTGACAAAAAAGAAGTAGGCGATCTTTTATTAGCATATTTGTAAGGAAACTCAAATAAGCGAGTCAATTTATTTTAAAAAGATGTCTTAAAGTAAGTATTTAATTACAGAAAATTTCTGGCTATGTCAGAGGGGGCGAAAAGAAAAGAGTAACGAACCAATAATATGCAAGTAAACGGCGTACTTATCACTATAGACCAATTTCGATATGTTAAAATTCATAATTGGCTCCTAGGCTTGGAGGAAAAAAAGAAAAAATTGTTTTATTCATCTCTGAACCTTGAGGTTATTTCTCTTGTGTTATTTCCTCACGCCTTGGCGCCAAGTATAAATTTTATCATATTAAAATTGTCTTATAGTGATATCAATTACTGCCCATTTTCTTCCATGCCTTCCGTCATGGAACAAGATGAGGAAAGATCCTGTGACGAGGTTTCCATGGTAACATGTGAACTCACTTCCTTTATTCTTTCTCTTTTTGCCTGGACGACTAATGGCTTCCAGTTCCTGTTTTGAGTCCCGGCCAGGGCATGCGCACACCCGGACATTGACGTAGCACCTTCCCAATACTGCGCTCCCCGACCTGGTAACGAGAGATCAAAGCATTCTTTCGTAGAGGTAATTTTACACGGGACGATTCACAACGTTGATTTTTAACACAACACAGCGCCGCAATGGTGGGACAATGCTGCAACCATTCGAAACAATCTCGCAACAATGTTGGTAGGCTGTGTTGCACTAACATTAACATTACCTAAACTGGCTGTAAAGAAGACTTTTAAATAAGGGTACCTATGGTGAGATTTGAGTGTAAAAGAGCAAGACAAGGTCGAGAGAAAGATGGCGGGAAAGAGCAGTGAGCAGTTCAAACACTACAGTGACCATATACTTACAGATTTTCCAGTGTAAAGATGATTTGAATGGGCCGTCTGTTAAGTCCACCACATGAATTGTTACAGATGAAGTAAAACAGCTCATGGACTCCAAGTTCCTCATTTGCTTCAGCTGTTTATGAACAAAGGAAAGAAAGAGAAAGATTGAAAAATTGCCAAATCAGTAGTTGACTGAGAAAAGTAAACTGCTTTTATAATAACTTGGTTGTTTGTAAAATGAAGAGGAAATGAATGCGTAATAAGAGAAATATTGATTTGTCATGTTTATGTTAGCACCTTTACAATGCGGGTAAACTTTTTTTGCAGCTATCGTAGTAGATGGCACGTATAGTAATAATACATTACCCCACCTTTGTTCATTTGGGTCTTCCATGGCTCAGACTTACATCCATTGAAAGTCGCACACATGTCAGAAAACAGAAACACTGTCCCCATCTATACTATCCTAAAACTAGCTCTGGCCCACAAAAGCAAGAAGGACTGAATTTCAACAGGTCCAGGAGCCCATTTGATGGGCTCCTGGCCTGACAGGTCCTGTAAAATTCTCGTAGTTGATGAGTTGTAATGAATTTGAATGTTACAGGGATAAGTACACTTTCTTATACCGAGTAAAATGAGCTCACTCTTCTGTTTCTTGGTGCATTTCCGAGGAAATTTCATCTAAAAATCCTTTTGTAAACACGTCCCATGAGGCGATTCGAAGGCAGGCTCGAAGGCTCACCTGTGGGTGGTGCTCGCAGCGGTATCCTCACAGAGTGCCTGGTGGTTTGGGGACATTCCTCGTAAAAGGCCTCTTGATTGTCACAGCGGAGGAAATGACCGGTAGCTGGGGAGCCTATTAAAAAATTTCACAGTCAATCATTTAAGCCATCTGTCGTTGAAACAATAAAAAGCTTTGCAATTTTTATTACAACTATAGAATTATATCATCCAAATAGTAGTGTCGACGAAATCGGCTAGTGGAGACTTTTAATCCAAGGCAAGCAGAACAGTTTAGTAAAGCGTCGTCAGTTTGTTGTTCCAGGCTCTGGCATCGAAGGCGCTTGGGTAAATCGGATAGGATGACGAGGGTAACTAAGATGCATAGAGTGAATCCACTCCTCAGAAGTCATTTTTCGGTGAAGCCAGTGGTAGCGTTGCGCCATGTCAGCAGTTTTCTCAGGCTAGAAATATTGTATCTTTTATTTTGAGTTGTAAGTTGTGGTGCGGTCTTAAGAGTTTTTTTTTTATTAATATTTTTACCTGAGTATTCTTCAGTATGATTACGACAACAGCGCACAACATCCTTCGCATGTTCCGGCTGCCTGAACACGGGCATTGCTCGGATGAACGCTCCAGAAGGAGGGGGACCTGAGATTGAATTAAAGCAAATGTGGAAAATTTAGGTGATTGTTTCATTAAAATAATGGCCTGGTCTTAAGAAAATGCTTTGTAAGTCGAAAACCTTTTGAAAAGGAGGCCTTTCGCTATCTTATGCTCCCCACGAATACAAAAAAAGACATGCACAACAACGAAAAGGTACTGACCAGTCGTTAAAAATCTGATCGGGCAAGGTGTCTTTGACTTGATGTAAAGCTTTTTCTGTGTAACGGAGTACTGCAAATACAAGTCGCCATGTAAATTAGTAAATTTGCACAATCCCACAGACAAAACATCGGCTTCATGTTTTCCCGCCCTTAGTTCGCTTTTTGATCTTTCAGTTTTTACTTTCCCGCGTGAATGTTGCTGATTATCAGTGGTTCTTTGACGCTTGGAGCCAACTGAATTTCTCGTTTTGAAACTGAGAGTTTTTGGAACTCGGAAATGACCCATTGTTTTTTTTCTTTCTCCGTATGTTGGTACAAGCTGCTTGCTTACTTCACGTAACAACTTATTGTTGACGTTTTAAAAATGTCAAAGAAGTGGTCACAGGTTAATTAATTGAAGGCATTTCGTTTGTTTTACTTGCCATACTGAATCTACATCAGTAGCGCTATTTAAAATTTGCGGGGAAACCTCTATAGACACCGGGTGCTAAAGGGGGAGAGACATGCCAATCAAGGGGAAATATATCCAAACTTAAGGAAATATGCAGCTGCTGCAAAAACATGCTCAGGAAAACTTGCAAATCGCCACAATTTAAGAGAGGCAAACTTCAAGTTGGCTTATACTTACAATCCAGTCTGGATTTGCCACTTTCTTGGGCTGTTGAAAAGAAAAAAAAGCCAACTTTAAATTTGTACACGCCCTAAATGTCTTTTTTTTCAGTTTTTAAACTTAACTTGCGAAGTCACTGGTGAACATGACAGGTAAATGATTTTAATGACAAATTACCTGTGTCTCGAGAACCATTCTAAAATTGTAATCACCGTTGAACTCGTTTCTGGTTATGGAAAGAGGAGAGTCACTGTGAGTCACTTAATAAACCATCGTACTCAATTATTTACTTGTCTAGTGTAAGTTCTGAGCCTGACCTTAATCTTAAATCGTATAAAAGATTGGGAGGGGGTGGGGGGTGGGTGGTTAAGCCCAAAGGTTTCTGGCCAACTTTTACGAGAAAAACGTGTAGCCAGAACCTTCTGTCTTCAATATCAAACATTGGTTTCGATAAGTATTAACTATAATTATATCTAGAAGCGTTTGTACCTTAATCATGAAAAGACTCTGCTGTTTTGTATACAGCTGAATTTTTGTTAAAATTAAGATAGTGGCCAAGAGGGCGAGTTTAGAATGACGTCACGGGTTCCCTGGTCCCCACCTGCCGGTTATGTCCCATATCGTAATACGTACATTATCTTGGAGAACGCCTTACATGCACAGGATTTTTTTTTAACCGTTTAATCTTTGCGAAATATTCAGTAAAAGACCAAGGGGCTGGGGGATCCATCTGCCCTCTCTAACTCCTCTTGTACCAAGTTACATTATACTATTTGCGGTTAGTTTATGGCAGATGTCCACTGCTGAATGTCATTCAATTATCCAGGGCTACTCATCTTCTTACAGGCACCTGTGATGTACGTACACGTTACCTAGGTTACTTACATGCTGGGTGACGTAACGTGGGGAGGTGATAGATTCATAAGTGTTTGTGGCGGGAACCTGGCGCTGTTTGGTGTTAGAGGCTCAACGAATTCTGGGAAAACGTCGTCTTCGGTGGGAATAAGCAAATTTTCTGGCTGAAAAATGGAGTTAACTTATAGTCACTACTTATGAACGTTGTTTGGGGTTAACGAATGACATGTGCTACTTTAAGATTTTAAATTAAAAACTTTACAGGTGATTGCATTTTCTTGATTGAGTAGTATTTTGCCATTAGTGAGAGCTTCAACACTTTTATATTTTCCTCGCCTATCGACCAGTGGTTTCAAACTGTAGGACTCGTTAATAACTAATGACAATTTTCTCCTGATAATTATACATTTTGACATGATTTTTTCTTCAATAAAATTAAGAAATTTGCTCTGATTAATTGTACACATAGCGCCGATGCCCACTTGCAAAAAAACTGCCAAGGGAATCCCACGTACAAGGGAGATGGCAAAAAGGTTTAAAGTTGTATGTATGGATTAATGGTGTACAGTGATTGGAATATTGTATCTAAACGCCTTGAACTTTAAGATTCATGTCAGGTTGAGATGTTAAGACCTGTAATAGCACTCAAAAATCATTTCCTTCTGTGGCGCATATGCTTAAATTTCAAAATGTTGGCGCAATGTTGCAATGGCGAAAAAAAGAAATAAAAATCGACTTATGTACATTATTATCGATTGCACGGCGTGCGCTCACTTTGAAAGTTGCGAAAGGAGTTTAATAGCACCCTGAAAATTTTAATTGTTTCTTCCTCGGACTAAATTACAGCGGAAAATATTATAGGAATAATATAAAAGGCTAAATTACCGGTTCAGGAGAGAAGTGTAGTTGCTCCTCGTGAAACTGCTCTGGTTGCATAGGTTCTGAAAACAAATAATACATAAAAAGATAGATTTGTTGTGTTGGCTTTCGCAGGTGACGTTACTTTAAGCCTTTATTAACTGATGTTGGTTACTTTAAAACGTTTCGTATTTTATAAATAGCAGTGCATTTAGTGCACACCTGCTTTATTTCTGCCAATTGTAAAGCGCTTATTCCAATGCACAACAGAATTTCCTTTTAATGAAGCATGATACCCTTCTGAATCTCTAGTTGTAGACAATACAACGTTACCGCAAAAACTTTTAGAGTCCGAAACAATTGAAGTTATACTGCGATATGTTTCTTCAGCCTTTCCAAAAATCCAAGCTGAACTTCGGGTTGATCTTACTTCAAAAATCGAACGGGAAAGAATTCATGACAAAATTTAGAGACGACGTTTAACTAAATCAAACTTAACATTTTTAAGATGCACTATATGTTACAGGCGCGCAAGGCCTGAGGCTCACGCAAAAAACATTGCGGTTTCTGCTTTTCGTGCGGCTAAGCCCGACTTCCTTAAAACGAAAAAAATGCCCCCTTGTTTCATTTCATGTGTCCAAAAAAACTTACTGCTCTCTATTTTACCGCATTTTCTCTATCAAACGCCTCTACTTATTCCAAAGCATGCGATGATTTGAAAGCGCAGTTTGCCATTCCTGGAAGAGCTTGATGTCAGAAGAAAAGGCTGTGTTCATTTTAATCGCTGTTTTGAAAAGAATAAAGCCGTGTATCTTGCCCTTATATAAATTAAGTTTACCGTACCAAAAATTAATGCTTTCGGAGGTTATTTACAACTTTCGCTGTCTGTAAGACTGACGAGATTCTTAAAGTGACGAACTTCCCATAAGAGACTTGAAAGATTCTCATGGATCACTTTTACCCTGTGAAAAAATTGTTTTTAATGATACCCTGTAGTTACCAACAGTCAGTCTATCATGCTGTTTTCATTTTCAGCTTTGGGTCATTCGTTGGTGATTTTTCATGCGTTACGCCCAAAATTACACACATTTATCACATTAAAAGAGTGATAGGTTTGAAAGGATATAGATGCCTTTATAATTAGCTGAGCAAACTAGAAACAAGGTTAACTAACAAATTGATTACATAATCAGTCCTTTTAAGCATAACAAGACTGTCTCTTTTTATCTGATTTTTTGGATGACACTCGCCCCGTTAATTCTTTGAAACATTTACTGTTACTTTTCATAGAATCATCCAATTAAAGCTAAACGTTAAGGCGCGGCTGACACTCCAACGTCATATGTGAATGCTCCATACACACGCTATAGATAGCCGATTGTTTTTTTCTGCAGTTCAAAAGCACAACACCTTCAAATATGATACGCTTACTTAGTTGTACAATGAAACTTTTTGTTCCAAATATAGAAATTAAAGAAAGAAAACAATGGTTGTCAAAAAAGGATATATCCTGTCACGGATTGCTTTCAAATTCTCAAAAAGTGTACATAAAAATGACTTGAAAATTGCTTACGGATGGGTGCATTTGGTACTTAGTCTACGCGACACGCACAAGGGACTTATCTTCATACAGACAAAAGCCTTCTGATATATTTCATTCATTGTCTGAATTGCTTTAGCTGGACGCGTGTTTTTGTGTGGCTAAGCAATTAATTCCTTTACACAACATTGAGTTGTGCTATAGAGTCATGGATAGTATTTATAGCTTCAGCTCTTCCTTTGAAAATTATACTTCCCTATTTATGTAAATATTGCTAAGATGTTTCTATTCCGACCCTGGTGATCATAACAATTCCCTGAACTCAGAGTAGCATAAATAAAGACGGTGTGTTAAAGAACGCTCGACATTTGCGGATCATGATACGGTAATCTGATAAAATCGGACTCGTGTCTGCATACAAATTGAAACTAAATCTTTTCGCAGTCTTTTATTCAAGTTACAGATCCAAATATCTGCAGACCCCATCCGAGAGCCTTTTTTATATAGCATTGTCATTGGCTATTTCTTATTTTCGGCGAAAATTGCAACCCTGGAAAGTTTGTTTAGATCTTTTTTTACAAAAGATATACATTGGTAATGCGCGTTACTTAAAAATTCTGAACTCCGACACACCCTTGAAATCGTGGCAGAATTAAAGTAAATTAACTTTTGGTTTTGGTTTAGTAGCGAAAACTAAAAATAACTTTCACAGAGACTTACCAGTCACTTCAAACTTCATATTTCCATCGATCTCTCTGGAGCAGAAAGAAAACAATTTCACAAATCAGATAACCGAAGACTTTTGGTACAAAAGCTGCAGAGGCTGAATGGGGCAACAATAAATATTCGTCTCACGCATGATGTGATCAATGTGGTCTTTTGACGAACCCTAAAAATGAGCACCGAAAAGAAAGAATTGGACAGTCTCTTTCATTACTATTCGTCGTTACTTTGCGGAAAATACAAACTTGGGAACTTTAAAAGTTTTTTTGAGCTTTGCAACGTGCAGAACTTCATAAGACAGAGACCCCCAAACTCTGCGCGAATTAATAAGAACCCAAAAAATTGAATATGCACGGTTAAGCTTACCCCGTAAAGCTTGTAGGACCCGCTCCAGGACTGGGTAAAAACTCAGATATCATGTACTGTTCTGGGTAGTTCCAGGGAAAAGTTTTCATTTCGGCATCAATTTTCTCGTAGAAGTGTGTGTCGCCCATGTTTGCTCTTGCGTTCCAAATAGCTTTGCATCGGGTTCTGCAGAGGTCCTTGAGTATCCCTCTTCCGGGTTACTGTATATAGTAATCACTATTGTATTCTTACGATTTCCGGTGTATAAAATGTCGGCTAGAAAGAAACTTCATAGTAGAACTCTTTTGTTCTTCACTACAACTTACAGCTGACATGTGCCAGTCAAACAACCAACACGAAAATTGCGATACTCATGCTGGAGGCATATTTTGTCGGAGTTTATATCGTCTGGCTCCACTATTCTACTTTGTTCTTTGTGTATGATTAGATCACCTACGGCTCTTTTGTCAGTCGTGGTTTTGTTTCGCCTTCTGTTATGTAGTAAAATCTCGAGTTTTCGAACCTCTCCGTCGATGCTCAGTCGAATCAACACTAACCTCCACTCCTTAACCAAACTCCCTGTTAACCCTCGAATTTTTTTTGAATCCAAAACTTCGAACTAAGTTTTCTCATTTTCCTTGGAGGTTTGAAGGATTCTACTTTATAATATTAACAAGGACTGTAAAGTTTTAAATGGCGTTTTCAGTATCAACTGAGTCCCAAATTAACAGAAAAAAGATGTGAAACATCTATTACGCAATTTATCTTAATGACTACACTCAGGGAAAAAAATGGCTCCGGTTGTTACTTTAACAAAAGTGAAGTTAAAACCCCTCCAATCAAAAAGGAGGACATGTTTGTTTTTACTCGAAACAGAATATAATATCACAATAGATCCTTCAGATAGTATAAGACGTGCTGAAACAAACCTTTTAAACTCTCAATAAATAAGACTGGTTTTTTTTAGTTGAACAGTGTCATTATGCACGCAATGCTGAGAGTGATTTCACAATTATCATATAAACGCCAACTATGTTGTCTAAAGCTTTTGTTTTGTTCTGACAAAGGACTTTATTCATCTAGATCATAAAACCGATTTGGTCTTAATATTGAAATAATTCCTAGTAAATTCCTGCTGATAGAAACAGATCCTAGCTCACCTTAAGACAACCGGGGTAAACTACACAAGACCCGGTCGAAAAGGAAGGGATCGCATTTTTAAAAAGATGTGGACTTCGAGGGGCTCGTTTAACTAAGCGACTTCTAATTATCTCGTCTCGTTTAAATAATGTGATAAGATCATTGGCAACTGTTCAATTATATCGGTAACCACTCTGTTTATTTTTTTGCCAAGACGAATTAATGAAGTGATGACTATTATGAAATCAATGGAATGATGCATAAAAGAACGAATTTAAATCTATGCTTATTTGATCTCCGTACACTCAGAAATCAATATAAGAAAATCGCGATTGGTGTTATGCTCCAGCCGTTACAAATCATTACCAAATATAATCAGAGTTATTTGAACATTGGAAAGATTGCTAATTGTGCCACACTTCATCGATCTGATACTAGTATTTAAAGAAGGAACAACTTGAACATTTGTCTCAATGACAATTAAAGCACATTCGTGCGCATGATGACAATGACGTGATCGATCAGGTGATGTGAGTGGTTTGCGAAGGTGCCTTGACTGAGCATGCCCAGATTGTTAGTTTGCATGGCTTTACTTAGGATGGCTCGGCACATGCCTTATTTTTTCATAAAATTTCCGTTGTGTGTATCACTGAGAGGGCAGGTTGGCCGCTTACCACTGCCGGCAGAACTCGAGCTCCAATTGATTTAATTTAATTCATTGTTGCGACATTGTTTCGAATGGGGGCAACATTGTTGTGTTGCGCTAAAAATCGTCGTTGCGAATCGTCTAGTGTAACATCACCTTAAGACCACGACTTGTTTCAAACGTCGTGCTTTACGCGTTACACATTATATTAGTTGGCTAAATTGATTTCTTCTGTGTTTTCGGCAAATGCTTTATTTTATTCAGTTGAATTATATTAGTCGACGTTTTAATCAAATGAAGCCGTGCTGCAGTCGAGCCAGCATGAGAAACTGATTTTTTTGTTATGTTATCGCTATGAAACCACCATACCACCTATCAAGGAAGTCACTGTCCCTTTTTCTTCCTTTTTCACTTCTCCCCGGGGGCTCCCGACAAAGTTTCTTCACCCAAAACAAATGTGAATTTTAAAGCCGGAATTCAAGCTTTTGAAACATCGCCGTAAAATCTGCTAGCAAAGTTTCAGATAGCTAAGTTGTATATTCACCCGGCAAATATGGCAAAAGAAAATTTAAAAGGAAAAGTGAATAAATGTCGAAAGCAATGATTCCAAACCTAGTCAATTTCTCCCTTACACAACGCTAACTTTTGTTACTTCCATCAATAAATACGGCATAAAATGCGACCGACAAGTTCAGCAGCTAGCTATTCACTAAGTGATTTCAAATTGATTAAAGCACTTTAAATGTTCCACATATACTCCAAATCATGCAAACTCGTTCGAGCACCACCGAGCCACATGGCATGAATGTCTGCGAACTCTCTCTCGGCTTTTTCAGAACTTGTTACCCTAAAGGCTAAAAAGAAGGAACTGTAAGTAAGTCTGGTTAGTAAGTAAGTCTGGTTTATTAATAAAATCGTCGCGCTTAGAAATAAGGGAATCGCGAAATTATTTTACAAAGATATAGATATCAATCAAAAAGAAATTAATTTAAACTAATTACATCGTGTTCAAAATGGACTGGGTCTTGCAATTATGAGAAGATATAATACAATGAATTAGATAAAAAAAGAGAAATGTATAAAATATAGAAATGTAGAAATATATATCAAGTTATACATTAAATTCCCATAAGTAAAGGCAAGTCGCCGGACGTTTCAAGCTTCCTTGGGGGGTTTGATGGTGGTAGGCGTAAAGCGGGGAGGGAAGGGGTAACGGTGGGGCAGCTGTTCACCTTCCGTGACTCGTTTAGCATGTGGTTAAATTGTTTATACAGCAATGTAAGTAAGGATACGTTTAATACTGTACAAAACTTAAGGTAAGAGTGTTTTCCATTTGTACTATGAGCCTCGTTTCTTCGCAGTAAAATACGCAAGTAACATTGCATAAACTGTTTACAAACCAGTTTTTTCTATGTTCTTCTCAATTCAACCAGAAAATCTTGCGCACATGTGCGAGTATTCGTGACTCGCTTTCGGTCGGTTTTAATCACGGCATGTGGTCGAATCAATTGTTTATACAGTATTTTAAGTATGGGAAATATTAAAGTGGCAGTGCTTTCTTTTGCACGTACTGTAAACTAAATACTTTCGATTCAAAACGCGCGTGTTTCATCGCAGACTTTTGGGGAAACCAAGTTCTTTAAAATTCACATAATATCCTGTGCCACCCTTGAGGAGTCAACAGTTTGCTGACTTGTCCATCTAATACTTCATCTAATAATAGTTCAACTAACTCGACGAACAGCTGCACAGCTTCCGTGACCCCGTTTCAGAGTTCATCACGGCATGTGGTCAACTTGTTTGCACTCCAGTTAAACGAGATAATGGCATATTCCTTTATCGTCCATCGAAGAATAAACACAAATACATTATATAGATAACTCTTTCACTTTTTGGAGTAAGGCCAAAAATGATAATTCAAAACCAAGAGAATGTTCTTCCATTACTGTTACAATGTATGAATGCTGAGGGCCAACGAACAAACCAAACCAGTCAGCAAGTTGATCAAATCAGAATTCATGAAAAAGACTGTCTGTTCTGTTAGGGTTATGGGCTTCTGAAAAAAAAAAGTGATGCCCAATCTTTGCCTTCGGGCAAAGCTAAATTATACAATTATTTCTTCACTCCGTCTGGTCAGGTTGAAACGATAATTTATGCCAAAATTGCTTCATGAAAAATACAAAACAAGCAGCAGCAAGGAGAAGGAGTCTGCTAGCAGACTAGTACGCAGCAGATGGGGCGTAGAAGGCTACAGTCAAAGCCAAAACGTTGCCGGGGTGCGAAAGGCGTGGTATTTCCTGACAGTGTGTAACAGATTATATAAATCAGACGTTTTAGGGGAAAGAAGAAGGATGTCGAAACAGCAGAAAGTCACCTTGTCTTCCGCAGAACACCGAAAACTAAGATTTACACTTCCCAATCCCCCACTCCTTCCCTCAGTAGACTGACCCAGGATTGAACCAGTGACAGCAACCCCGGCATGTTTGCTAATGTGTCCGATCCGTGCTTAAAAACAAATACGTGTACAACAAACATGAGGAACGTCTCGGACAGGGCGAGCTAACTCTTATCGTAGGCATCGATTCTCTGTCGCTGTAACAACGCAAATAAATTCTGCAGTTACTTTTCGATTGCCCCAAGAAGACCGTGTATTTTAGCTGTATAGCGACGGTGTCTGCACGAACGCAGCTGATAGGAAATACAATGAATTGATGCATGCGAGAACGGTGTCCATTACTAAAGTCCGTCGATCGATCCAAGATAAGTTTACCCTGCAAGGCTATGACATGGACGAGCTAAACAGGGTCCACACGATTTTCCTGGAAATTTTCGGCCCAAACGCATGACCTACCACACTGCAGGGGTGGATCTAGACAGCAAGTTGGTCAAGTCAGAATTCAGGAAAAAGATTTTCTGTTCTGTTAGGGCTATGGGCTCCTAAAAAAAAAGATGCCAATTCTTTGCCTTTGGGCAAAGCTAAGTTATACGATTGTTTCTTCAGTCCGTTTGGTCAGGTTGAATGGACGAGCTAAATAGAGTCCAACTGCACCCTCTGCTCCCGCCAATTTTCCTCTTTTTCCTTCTTCAAGTTAGCCTGTGTACAGACGTCTATACACAGGCTAACTTCAACGTTCCCCGTTCTTAGGGTCCCCTCACATTCGTCCCGTCTTCGCTTCCGTAGACTTGAAGGAAAGCCTTGAGAACGATGCATTTGCTTTCAAAATTAAGACGGAAAAAACAGACTGTCTTGTTCATTCGAATAGTACGCCTGTAGTCTAAGATAAGTCAGGAAGAGTACCTTCCTCTTCCCGATTTATCAGAAGAACAAGGGGCCTATCTTGTGGTAGACTGCAATTGCGTACTGATTAAAACCGCGAGCAGTCAAACAAAAAGGTCTGGAGCGAGGCTGAAAACGGAGAGCGAGACTGGGGAGGGACGTTTTTTCGCGCGTGTGAGACTTCAGCTATGCTAAACCGATTTTGAGAAAAAAAAAAGCGACTGTTCTGCAGTCTAATCTTGTGGCCGAATCTCTTATTCGTTTTCGGAGAAAGAAATCACTAAAATAACATGGAGTCAATGGGCTTTCTTTTTATTACGATTTTTTCATGTCTTATATTACCAAAATCTCTTCGAAAATAAAGATATCATTACATCACTTGAAATAATATAGCTATCAAAAGAACATGTATGACTGCATTATGCGATATTTTCAGTGTAAGTCTATAAAAAATTGTTTATGAAATTTTTATTTGGTAACTTTTTCTTCATGTTTCCCTATACTGTATATGTTACAGGTCAAAATTGAATCCAGGTTAAAATTTTGAATTTTTTATCTCCTAGCCCTATTTCATGAATAATTTGGCCTAGGAAACAAAGGAAATTGAGTATCAAAGTAGGTTAAAAGATTTTAATCTGAATTTAATTTTGACCTGTAACATAAGGGGCGGATCCAGGATTTTTTTTAGGAGGGGGTGCACTCTTCTCTCTATTCTTTTTGCAGAATACCAGTTGTATTAGAAAACCGCAGGTCATCTCAGGGGGGTGGGGGTGCGCACCCCCTGCACCCTCCCCCTAGATCCGCCCTTGAACATATACGCACTTGCGTCTCACTAACTTTTTTGAATCAACTTCACTTTAATAGTTGTTTTTACGATTAAAAATCCATTAATCGTGGATACTATATTTCGATCCGAAGAGGTGTACAGAGTCCTTTGCTAAAGTTAAAAGTACTTAAAAAGTAACCATTGATGTCTGTTTTTTTAAAAGTTCTTTGATTTACAGACTTGGTGTGGCAACAAGTTGCCAAACATACCCCAGACACTTAAAAAAAACTATATGAAACCAGGTTGCAATGAACACGATGTAACATGTTTAAGATATTTTAAAAATCTCGTCTAATTCAAGTACCATTCCTGAATGTCGTTCGGGTTTTTGCCGTTCAGTTAACGGTTATCGTTGGTTAAACCTCGGTGGCATTAGTGCAACAGGGAAAAAAAAGATAGTTCTGGTAGATATTTAAGGGCAGGTCATAACTTTTCAATCTGTGGCCCAAAACTTGTAGTGTGAAGATTCAAATATAACCTCTTCAGGAATACATTTCGATAGTCCTAACAGTTTTCCGGTGTTTCACAAAAGCAATCATTAACCTAAGAGTGATCAGCATCAAATTTCTCCTTGTGATATCAATGTTTTGTAAAACAGAGTGGTCATGCGAATTAGGGACATGATCACACACGATGAAATTGCTTGACATTTTATCAACTTCTCCCCACTACTTCTGTAGGAAATAAATAGGGGCAACGAATGAGAATTCAGTTTTTAATATAAGGGTTTAAAGGGTTACTGACCAATCTTATGGGTTAAATTATCAGACCACTCTCTGTGGATTTATGCTGCGGTAATTTCCCTGCGTACTGTTTGAACTTCTACTGATAACTCTCCATTTTAAATCTGACTTGTGAGGTTGAACAGCCATATACAGCACAGATGCAAAGTACACGTAACTCAATAACATCTGAAAAAGACAACAAGAAAAAAATTAGGGAAGAGGGGGGCAGGCTTGATTACCAGCCACTGTTTGGGCAGGGAGCCTGAGCTAACAAGACCTGGGGCCTGTTTCTCCAAAGTCCCGGTAACTTTTCGGGCCCGGAAAGCTGTTTTGTGTTTGCTGTGTTTGCATTCAAGATCAAAGTTTCAATAATTTTGAAAATAACACAATGGAACTATCAGTTATCGAAACAACTTGGAGTGGTTTGTGGGCTAGGAACTGTGCTAATATTCAACAGGTTTTGATTCTATTGCCTTCGGGCCCAAAAAGTTTCCGAGTCTTTCGAGAAATGGGCCCCTGACCCGAGAGGGTGGCAGACAACCTTGTCCTGAGGGTTTTACCTTAGAAAATGGAAGGGGCGGTCCCATTTTCTGAACGAGGTTGGGCGGTAGAAATCAAGCTTTCAAAAATATATAGCGCAAGAGTTAAAGTTATCTTACAAGCGAATAAATAAACTAAGATAAACCAGAGATAGTTTATAAACTATTACTTCTCCAGTTTTACATGCTGATTGCCAAATGTTTCATCGCATTTTTCTGATGCTAAAACCAAGGGTGTCGCGCTATGCAACTCCCGTTGAGCTTAGCAGAAGGGAGTGGCTACAAGGTCTTGGCGAGTGAGCTACTTTTGGCCTTTACAAAGCTTTATCTTTAAAGATAAGAATTAAAAATTAAATTAAAAAATCAAGAGAGCCTGCAAGGTGAGTGTGGTGGGGGAGGGGGGCAGAAGACAATAAGAATCAAAATATTTTATTCCTTCCTCCCCTCCCCTCCCCTCACACTTTAGCTCTCCAGTAAGTGTTCTAATACAAAGTTAAACAATCACAACACCTGTGTTGAAGCAATAAGCTGTGCAGGCCACAGAACTGGAACCACAGAGGCGAGTCCTGCAAATGGTCAGTTAGATAGATGTCAGAATTAATTACCTTCTTGGTTACAACAACCAAAAATACAAAACACACCAGAGTCTGTTACAGGATATTTACCAAGCAAGAGTTAAACATACAGGTAAAGAGCACTACAGATTAGGAAACTCTAACATAACATAAAGCCCATGTTCAGTCTGTACTGGATAGCTCTTGGGCTGACATGAAACCATATCAGATATGGCATATGTTCACACACTTCAGATATGCTTATGCCATTCCTTGTTGCAGTTTTTTTTTGTACTACGTTTAGCCAACATAAATGAGTAGGAGAAAGGACTGAAACCCACTAAAGATGGAAGTAAATATTCACAAAGGAGGATTACAATTTGGTGGGTTAATACAGATTTTAGATCCAAAATTCAAGACTTTTTTCCAAAACAATAACTCCTTTTTCCAGATTCAAGGTTATCAAATAGTTCATGATCAACAGAGACCTTAAAAAATGCCAGAAAAATTTTTTTTTCATGATGTGCTGCAAAAGTAGGGGTGAGATTGAATAAGATTTGACCAACACGAAAAATTTCACTAATAAAGTCTTGTCGTATAAGCTTTGGAAAAAAAAACTCAAGACTTTTTACCATTATTCCAGACTTTTTCTCCATTTTCCATACCTTTTCCATGTCTGGAAAATAGCTGGGCAAATTTCAAGTCTTTTTCAAGAATTCAAGACTCTGTACAAACACAGTGCTCTGGTAAGATGTTTGATGTGTGTGAACAACTTGTTTCCAGTTCAGTGCTGTTATCATTTGCACTGTGCTGGATATCTTTTCATGTCAGCACAAAAAGTTGTCTGGTAAGTGTGAAGTGTGAAGTGTAAACATAACCTGAAACAGCTATGAAAGCTGAAAAAGTTAAAATTAGATGAGATAAATTTCATTACATATGTTCGGGAAAACATGTCCAGGAAAGAATACATCACATAACAGACATGACCACCTTATAAGTGGAATGGTTAGATAAGTCAGTAGCATGCTGGCCCAAAGAGTGGTAGGTCGTAAGTTTTATTCCCAGGTCTGGGCCAATACTCCACGTCTTAAACTGACCACCCACCCCTCCCTTAAGTCAACATTATCACTTACTTCCCACTTAGGGCAAGCTGTTGGCTTTGGGGAGGGGTAGGTGGGCAGTTTTCCAGAAAATGTATAATGATCCCATGGATGGTTCAGATGTCTACATGGTGGACCCCTCTGCAGTTGGTAGTACTTCCTGTGCTAAAATACATTCACACTTAAATAAAGTAGATTTTTTCATTGTTTACCCAAACCGTAATAGGCCAAGTAGAAACAACCTCTCTTAGCCTACCTGGTACTACCTCAAGTAAACTTACCACAGAGTGTCCCAGTGGAAATGGAGAAGAAAACCATTTTGAAAAACATTAGTGGTGTTTTTAGGGCAGCATTGTCTCCTGATATATTATCAAATGCAGTTTTCTAAGAGGGAAAGGAAAAAACAGCTACTTCAAGACCAAAGAACACAAGTTCTACCAAACAAAACCACCAAACATTTGCCAACCCAGTTACACCTAATCGTATTAATGAGGTAAATAGTAATGATAATGACTGGGAACACAAAGAGAGGATCATTGGCTGAATAAGAGCTCAGCTCAACCTCCGATAAACAGAAGAGGGGATACTAGTCAGAAAATTAGGAACAGAAATACCTAAAGAAGACTAATCTCGGCTTAGCCCAGGCTTTATCTGGCCTCTAAACGAGTCCATACTGGGTTTTCAAAGTACTTACATCAATTTTGTAGACCAGCGTGTATAAACCAGCATACAGTAGTGTTGTGGAAAGAAATGACTGCCCAAGGAATGACTTGGTTATGGTTTGATGCATCATTTGCTTTGTCAGTTTAACTGCAATAAAAAAAGCAGAAACTTCATTGGCCAAACTGTGGAATAATTATCATCAACCAACACTATTTTTGATCAACTGTTAAGTGGATCATTGTGCATACACAAGTGCTTTTGCTTTTGGTTTTCTTTCAGCTTTAGCAGATCATACTACCAGAAGCAGTTTTTTTGTACTAGTTAGCAATGATTTAATAATTTATGATTATAATTAATAATCTAATAATCAATAAAAAATAATTTAATATCTGGCATAGTACATTGTATTTTGAAGAGATGTTTATCCGCTTAAATTCATCACAATCTTCAGTTGAACTTTTTCGAAAAAATCAACTGATTACTAATGAGCATGTTATTGTACAGAGTTTGACCAAGAGCATCCAAACTCATTAACCTTTTCAGCCTCAGTATGTACAGACATTATTATTCAGTCTGATCTCCGTATATTCCTTGACGAAATAGTTAAGAATTTGAAAAAAGATCAATACATTTTCATCTTGGTGATCACTTAATTTTCATAACCTATTTCTCTTGATGATGATTGTAATGATATTGTTAGGAGGAGGAAATTGATATTAGTCTATGCCATCTTCACTTACTTGTTGTAAATGCAACCAAAATCAGATTTAGTGCCTGAAACACCACAATGACAATAACGCTCTGTGGACCAAGATTGTATAACAAAACAAAATTAATAAAAAAGTTAAATGCAGTTTAGAAACTGATGCCACAATATTATTTGTAATAATGTTTTTTGATCTCTCCATAATTGTTTATTATTATATGGCTACTTATTATTATAGTATGCTCACTCTGATTGGTTGCTAAACGGGCATCATTTTCTTGATGACCACATTACAGAAAGTCATGCTCATTGAAAAACATTGATTGTGAAAATGCAAATGAGTGAAAGAGGACAAAGAAAGAGTGTCAATCAAGAAATCCCCAGTTTTGCCATCGAGTTGATTTGCACAAGACTACTGTATTTCGCAGAATTTAATGTTAGTGCACACGAAAGAAAATGCTTCTGGTTGCATAAATGTTTTCTTCTCTGTAGCGATGACAAAGACATTCTACCACTTAAAACAATGGCACCATACTCCTATTGTTTCTGCATTGTCTGTTGAAAGTGTGAGAACAGTTAGTCGCTATAAAGTTCATAAGAGGCCGAAAACGGAGGTAACCTTTGAAACCTCATTTACACTCGCAAAGTCTAATGGGTACCCCACTTTTCACAGGCAATGTTTTCCAATGGGCTTGTTTCTGTAATGGGGCATTACTAGTGAGGTGTCCAAGGCATACACAATCTGTGTTTAACTAAGTTGGTTTTTACTTGCAGGCTCCAGTCCAAAATTTCTCATTGTCAAAGAAACTATGTGTTGCGGTTTCCATCGCATCCCTAGGTTCGTTTTGGTTCAGTGAACACGACCTTGAATGACCTCTTGCTATCGCTTGGTCAATGCATGTACGTCAAGGCCTGGGTCTGAGATTTCCCTGTAATGACCTCACTCTCAGTTTAAAAGAAGTGTATCTTTTTATGTCCTTACTGCTAGGAAGATGCTTGTCTCTTCTTGCTTGTCTTTACTTGACCGACTTTCAAATGCCTCGACAACACTGACAGCTGCAATGTTTAGAACCTGCAGAGGAAAGAAAATAACTCTTGTTTCTACAGCCTGTAAATGAACAAGAACATAGCGGTTTAAGAACCTGCTGGCAGAAATTCCCATTTTTATACCCCAAAATATAAGAACCTGTTTAGCCAAGCAAAATTTATTAGGTTCTTATATGTGAGTTATGGGATATTTTCATAAGAATTTTTCACTAAGAAGTATAACTTTGGTGACTTTGTGAAGTGAAGTCTGTAATTGTTTGTTTTCTTTGGACCTTGTGTTCCTTGAAGTTCAGCCATTTGAAACATTAGTCAGGTGCATTTCTTCACTTCTAGTAAATACTGTTAGTCTTGCACAAGGCTCATGACAAGACAGTTATAAATAACTGCTGTATCATAAAGGACCAAACCTATTTTTTCTGCTTGTACAGGAATGGTTTCTAATGAAAACTTAAGAACCTAACTAAGAACCTACTTTAGCCTAAATTGCCAATAACTACCCCCAAATATAAGAACCTGTTTTGCCAAACTTGGAAAAATGTAGGTTCTTACACGTGGGTTTTTACTGTATTCTAGTTACAATTATAAGTATATGTTTCTTGTTAAACATGCTGTAAGGCAATGTCTAGGTATTCTGGAAGAGGTCAGTAATGTTGATAGCAAGCAGCAGCCCATGACTGCCATCATAGAACTACACGAAATAGTATTTAGCACTAGTCACATACACTGTACTACAAAAACAGTGCCCCAGAGTATCAGTGTTAAATCGGTCTCCATTTACACTGTATGCCATTCCAGACTAAGTCCATAGAGCCATTCCAATTAAGTCAATGGGATGTAGGTTGTGCACATAATTTAAGGTAAGTCTGGCACCACTAAGAGATCATAACCAACAACCACCATCACAATGTTATCATACATGTATGAGTGTGATATTGATTTGAACAGTATACTCACCTGCCAAAAGACTGTCAAGAGTAATAGATTCCTGGTGATGCATTTTGGTATCTTGTAATGCCTTTAAACAGAATCCAGTGGCATTAGGATGAAAGGTACATGTATGCTAATTAGGAAGAGAGAGAGAGAGACCATAGCCAAAAAAAGACTTTTCCTTGTTAATTGAGTGGGTAAAATCAAAACTTGAGAGGCGAGATTTCTATCAAGTGGGGGAGTAAGTAGTCAGAACGGAAGCCAACCAACCTTAAAGCACTTTCCAAACAGTTTTGCTCTGTCCTCTGGCTAACCAGAATATTAACAAACATAAGAGATAAAATTGCTCTGACAAGTATTCATTTAGGGCACATGAAACTGGTTTGAATCTCGTACTCATAGTCCAGTCTGTAGGTCCCTAATATATTATTCATGACAGTCTAGTGACCCTTTGGCGCTCTTGTAAAGTAAAATATCGTGTACTCAAATGTTGATGACTACAGCTAGTACAACAATGGTGTATCTGATCAACGAGGAATTTCAGTCAAGATTCAAGCTAAACAGTTTCTGGCTCATATGCACGCAATTCATGTGATTTTTAAGCTTAACTTAAGCCTGTCGAGAACTTTACCTCCGATCGCCAAGTAATTGTTTACTTTTCGAGAATTCCCCTTTGGCACGTACATGTACAAACAAAGACAGTTTGAGATGAAATTATCACCCGATTGCCCGCATATAAACCGTGTAAAACCCCACGGGATTGCACAAAAAACAACTGATCACCTTCTTCGTCTATTTAACGCGTCGAATTCCACAGAGTTCATTCCAACCTGTCTTATCAAGTCACTTGTTGTTTCTAACGCTGTTTGCAGTTCCTCAAGTTGTTCACGAGTGATCGTAACCACTGCTTCAGCGGGTCCATTTCTCCTTCTGCTTGAGACACCATCTTTGTCTCTTTCAGAACTTGCACCGCTCAAAGCATCTGCTTTCATGCCGAGCTCTTCTGCGAGAGCTGTCAATTGCGAGTCCGCAGTGCTAACTCGACTACTGTCTTCACGATCCCTTTCGTCTACAGTATAAATCATCTCGCGATCTCTGAGAAGAGGAGTTCTTGTGTGTGCATCCATGTGGAGGTTTTAAAATTGGAGCAAGAAAACCTAAAAACTTGCAAAACCTGGTATCACTTCTGCTCCAGCCATCACCGTACACAGCAGGTACGCAATGCAAAATGTCACGTCCAAAGTTTTCTTCCAGGCGAAGATCGAGCAGTGGACTGGTGACAGGACTCCCACTATGCTCTTCGTGCTTCACTTTCATTCTCAAATATGGCGGATGTGTTGGTTGAAATTTCCTCGGGGTTTTCACTCTTCACAAGATGATGAAGTTTGCTCATTAATTGAAAACATAATGATCGCTTTGTCAATTAATTAGACACCAAAATGCTGAGAGCTGTAGGTGTTTTCAGGTGAGTGAAGTGCGAAATAAACCCTTTTTCTTGCTTGATCCCAAAGGTCATCGTTGCGATGATATTTTAACGAGGTGGGCCGAGGCTGTGTTTACAAAAAGATGTGATGGATAACTTGTTTCATTCATATGGCAAGAAGACTAAAATTGGCCCTTTTTCTGTGAACATTGTCAGTGCTGTCAGATCATTCTCGATGACGTGCTTTGATTGACAGTACACTAAGTTTGTACAGGCGTATACTTTTCACAAGGCAATATTAGCTCATTAAACTCGCTGATTTTAATAATTCTGCTTATGGTTAATTTGATGAAAGCTTGACGTATTATATTGAGATTAATAAACGAATCCCCTAACCTCTGGCGAGAAAATATAAGAAAGTAAGAACATAAAATTTTAAAATTGATAATAAGTTTAATAAAAGTTTTATGCCAATCACAGAGCACAGAGACTGTAACTCAATGTAAAGCCTATAAAAATATCACAATAATTGTTCTCAAAAATTTGTTGAGATAATTCAAATACAAGGTTGGATTGTTTGTTTGTATAAGACAGCAATTTACAAAAACAATCCCTCAGGCGGGGCTGTCACTCCCCCCCCCCCCCCCCCCCCCCCCCNACTTGATGACTCTGATCGTTTCAATTTTGCAATAACACTAAACGCATGAAAACCAATCAGATTATTATATTACAGTGGCATACCACAGTTGATGAGGAATTGTTCAATGTTAAAATTAAAAACAGCTCAAAAAATGCAAAAATTATAGTGAAAATCTTCTTGTTGGAAAGTCAAGTCTACTGAAGAAATGGCAAACTTTGGCGATTATTGTGGAGCTTTTTATTCTCTAATCTGGAGACTTGGAGATACTGTCCAAATCTGGAGTCTCCCAGATTATCCAGGAGAGTTGACAGCACTGCTGAGGGATGGTTGCCAAAAATAGTACTGGGAGCTTGAAGGTTAGAGTTGGTGGAGGGGCTGATTTTCAAAGCATTTGAAACTGGAGGTACATTTCTCTCCTTTATGTAAGCCATATAGGTATGTGCTGCCCCAACGGGTACGGTTTTTGCACCGTTTTGGTCTGAGAACAGGTATGGTTTACAAAGAAACACCGGAATGTATGATTGTATCTTCATTTCAATTTCAAATGAATAAGAGAGAAAAAGAAACATGGGAATTCGAAATGGATTTTAAGAAATCTTTCTTGTTGGCATTCTTATCTAAGTAATGATGACATAAGCCAGGTCAGGCCAGGTCAGGCCAGAGGCCAGGTCTGAAAATGGGTGTGAAAAATGGCATTTTTTGGTCTGAAATAGGGTCAGGATATGGAGAGCCAGGTGGCACACCCCCACCAAGAATTCCTAGAAGTACCCCCCTCCCTCCCCCACCAGGGATTTCTCTATAATGGCAAAAGAGGGTCATAACATTTTTACCTTTGTGTTGATCCCAGTGTCAATTGTTAATTAAATTAATTGATTTAAATACTTAAAGCCCCACTCTAATAAATCAAAAATAATGTTGTCCTCGAGAAATATTTATAAATTTGGTAACTATGTTTTTTAAGAATGAAGCAAATGTGGCAGCTTTGTTGGAAACTGTCTTAATTTGAGAGAGAATTCTTATACCCAGCTGAGTTCAGTTTCCTCTGTTTGTATTTCCTCAAGCTACGAGTGCTTGTGTGCATGTTGTGTGTATTCCTTTTTTTTGTATCTGTCTGACGTATGTCTGAACATTTGTTGAATTGCAGCCCTCACTGTGAACACTGTCTAAGGAGAAATGCAGTGGAGAAAGCTGGCAATTGGATCTCTAGAAAATCATCCCTTTCGTTCTCAGCAAGCTCCAAACCCATTTTTCAAAGATGTCATATTCACAGTTTATTATTTCTTAGACAAAGGAACATTAGAACATTCACCAAGACACCACATGGAGTATTTCCTGGTGTTACTCGGATACTCATTAACAAGAATATGTACAGTGAGCGAATGTTCACTACCCATATTGTTCGGGCAGTAATGCGGGTAGCAAGACTTAGATATTTTCTTCTTGGAGCTGCTGGGGCTGGTGGTGTTGCTGCTAAAGTGGTAAGTTTTATTTTGAGATGTAGTTTAATTTTCTCTTTTTATTATATAGACATGAGTGTTTTACTGGAAAATATACCACTCGTAAAATTCATAAAAACTACATCCGGGACCCGAGTGGTTTATTTTCCATAATCTCACATGTGAGTTTATCGATGACGTAATTTCGGTAATTTCCCTCCAAAATTTGTAGGCGTCTTGCATCCTTCGAATTTTAATTACACATTTTTCAAAGCTTTGCTTATATTTTGTCAATGTACAGCCCTATTCAGCTCAGTGTTATTTCTCAAGATTATTGTGAACAATGTCTTATATCGTTGTACTGTAAATTTGAGCCGTCACAATTACTTTTTGGCGAATAAAAATCTATTATTTTATCGATGTCTTTTTGTCTATATAATAAAAAGAACATTACACGGTGGCTTGAAGATTCATAAAATATTGTTTTGCCACTCGAAAGTAAAATTCATATCTTCGCGCCACTGTGTAATATCCTCTATATATACACGTCATGCAGAAAACACAACCCAGACATATATGCACTGTGTTTTAATAGACTTATTTAAAGTGTTATTATAACTTAAAAAACTATTATTTTAATGTAAATAATACAATGTCACTACATGTATGAAACTTGCTGCGAGGTCAATTTTGAAGCATGCTAGGTTTACACTACTTACTCCGTACTTAAAATGCAATTTATTTTCTAGCTTACAATAATCTTTTCCAAAATGCATTGTGTGGTTGCTTATTATTTTGAGGTGCACTGTGATGAGCAGGTAGGTAATTAAACATAGGCACGTTAAACGTGCATGAGCTATTTTGAATGCTTCAGTGTAACTTTAATGCTTCTGTTTAACTTTACCAAGAGTGATGAATCTACCTCTTTCATCCTAAATGTAGCTTGGGTTTTTGTGCGAAATTGCGTATTGCGGTACATAAATGAAAACGCGAAACGCTCAGCTGAGTCGATCCTCAAGCTATATATTCACTTTCCTCTGTCTTTCCCTGTTACATCTGGTGCAAGTTAAACAAATCGTTAAAGTGAAATAAATTTCTACTCACCAAACGTTGATTAGAAAGAAAACTTGAAGGTTTCCTCGGAGTTTCTTAAGCCAAAATGTGACTCATCGAATATTGAATAGTTACGAAATACCAGGATTTTTATCATTGTGGTAGATGATTGCANCCACTCGAAAGTAAAATTCATATCTTCGCGCCACTGTGTAATATCCTCTATATATACACGTCATGCAGAAAACACAACCCAGACATATATGCACTGTGTTTTAATAGACTTATTTAAAGTGTTATTATAACTTAAAAAACTATTATTTTAATGTAAATAATACAATGTCACTACATGTATGAAACTTGCTGCGAGGTCAATTTTGAAGCATGCTAGGTTTACACTACTTACTCCGTACTTAAAATGCAATTTATTTTCTAGCTTACAATAATCTTTTCCAAAATGCATTGTGTGGTTGCTTATTATTTTGAGGTGCACTGTGATGAGCAGGTAGGTAATTAAACATAGGCACGTTAAACGTGCATGAGCTATTTTGAATGCTTCAGTGTAACTTTAATGCTTCTGTTTAACTTTACCAAGAGTGATGAATCTACCTCTTTCATCCTAAATGTAGCTTGGGTTTTTGTGCGAAATTGCGTATTGCGGTACATAAATGAAAACGCGAAACGCTCAGCTGAGTCGATCCTCAAGCTATATATTCACTTTCCTCTGTCTTTCCCTGTTACATCTGGTGCAAGTTAAACAAATCGTTAAAGTGAAATAAATTTCTACTCACCAAACGTTGATTAGAAAGAAAACTTGAAGGTTTCCTCGGAGTTTCTTAAGCCAAAATGTGACTCATCGAATATTGAATAGTTACGAAATACCAGGATTTTTATCATTGTGGTAGATGATTGCATCATCATAATTCACAAGGTTTTCACGTGCAATTCTACTCAGTGAAACAGTCTTTAACTCCGACAACTTATTTCTTCATGTTTTAAAAGCTATTGCTTCTCAAAATACAAGAGCCTTTTTTAAGGCATTGGTTACAAAACGAAACAGATCTTCATACGTCCAAGTTACTATTTATCATTGTGAAAAGCCAATCTGCATGAGATGTACAATCACACAGCTGGCATGTGAAAGTGTTGGACTTTGCCCCCTTTCGTGGTTCATACGTGAGGGAATTCGAGTTATCACACAGTAAACTAGCTGAGTAAACAGAATTATAAAAATAACTCACGCACACAATTTGCACGTGAAGATGTTGGTCTTTCGCCCTTTTACAATTCGTACGTTAAAAAAAGGCAGATTCTTTACTACAAAATTTTGTCAAACGATTTTGAGAAATCACCTCGGCTTCATTATAACATCTGCAATTAAATTATGTTTCATGCAACGTCAAGGTTGATAACCTAACATTTATTAACATTTGTGAAACAGTCTTTAACTCCGACAACTTATTTCATCATATTTTAAAAGCTATTGCTTCTTAAAAGACGAGCCTTTTTTAAGGCATTGGTTACTAAATGAAACAGGTCTTCATACGTCCAAGTTACTATTATTGTTGTGAAAAGCCAATCTGCATGTGATGTACAGTCACACAGCTGGCACGTGAAAGTGTTGGACTTTGCCCCCTTTCGTGGTTTGTACGTGAGGGAATTCGAGTTATCACACAGTTATCTAGTAAACAGAATCATAAAAATAACTCATGAACACAATTTGCATGTGACGATGTTGGTCTTTGGCCCTTTCACTTTGTACGTAAAAAAGAGGCAAATTGTTTTACTACAAAATTTTCTTAAACGATTTTAAGAAATCACCTCGGCTTTATGACAACATCTGCAATGAAATTATGTTTCATACAAGGTCAAGGTTGATAGCCTAACATTTATTAACTTCCAAGAAAATTATCAAACTGCCGAAATATATTTCTACTTATATCATGATTATTGTGTCAGCTAGCTTCCTCCAATTTTATTCCCTAACGCCACTGTTTCTACTTAAGTTACGCATCTTTACTAAATAGAACGAAAAAAGGTCGGTTGAACTTTGTAACCGAGAAAATAATATTTTTAAAGCTTGTTTACAGGATTAACAATACTCGATACAGCTTTCAAAAAAATAAGCTGCCTTTTAAACTTCTAAAACCACATTTTATAGGGCGCATACTTTCGAATTAAAGTCTATATCTAAATATCAATTTTGGCTTCATTGGAAGAGATTTGAAAATATATTATCTTTTATACTCTAACCAGTTGTAGCAGGTGAAACAGAACTCACACTGACGTGCGTTGTACCGATAGCCGAATTAGGTCAGAAATGCCTCGAATCAGCATCCACACTTAAATATGAACCCTTAAACAGCTGCATCACTGTTCACAGCGTTTAAATCATGAAGATATTTTATGTAATGCTTCCAAACACCTGTACCCGCAATAAAAGACGAAAAAATTGTGAAGGATCAAGATGGCGGTCTCAAAGTGCCCTTGTTCGACCTTTACCAATGCCATGTTTAAATAGATGCCAAGATCTCATTGGTTCGTAAGCATCAACTCATTGTACCTTCAACCTAATTGGCTCTTGCAACAAACATCCCAACATACAAAGCCACAAAGATACATATGCTCACACCACTGACATATGAGCTATTTTTTCAAAATAGCTCAAAAATGATAAAAAGACTAAATAATGGTTAATACTGTTTTTTCAGTTGATTGAGATAATATCAAATTGCTCAGATAATAATTATTGGCATCATCTTCTTCAGACATATGATTCATGGAAGGACAAATGGCTGCGATTTCAAGAAGCTTTACCAGAATTTAGTTGGCTAAAAGAATTAAGAGACAGTTTGCCAGATTTTTCCAACACTTTTGCAGGAGGTACGGCATTTATTTAAGATGACAATATAAATAACTGAAAATCAAAGGAATCCGTTACGTACTATCCTATACTAAAACCCATGTCATATGTTACCTTACTGTAGTACTACATGTATCTTACTAGTTTTTAAGTATCATGTGTTGCATTTACTTTACTAGCTGTACAGCTGTAGTACACACCAGACAAAGCTATCTAAACCAAGTACATAGTAGAGAAACCCAGAAAAAGAACTATATTTGATGATACCCAAACTTCAAACTTACTTTATTATACATAGTAGACCAGAGTGTAGATGGGTATTAAAAGGTTCTTGATTTTTGTGGTTCCAATAAAAGAAAAATACCTGTACAACTGTCTATGGGGACAGGCTTTTAGTCAGACATTGAAAACTGGCCATCCAGAAGGCATGTTTACCCATAAAATTATGAGATTAAGTTAATTTTCCGTGTATTTCTTCCAAAAATGGTCATCCATAGAATAGCAAAACACCCTTCTGGTTAAAACCTTATATGGAGAAATAGTGGTAACTCCATAGTTTACCTTGTGGTCGGCAAAAAGGCCTGGCGCTTCACTGGTGGAAGTACAAGTATGTTAGAACTGGTGCAAGGTTTATATATGCCATGGATTAAATGATTTTAAAAGTTTTGTGGTGCATGTATGGCATAGCAAAAGGAACCAGAAGTTGGAATTAAAAGCCGTGTTGACTGGTACTGAGGTTGAAGATCCGGTGCATCTCCAGGAACCGCCCCCAAAATTTGGTGGAAAGCATCATTGATGGAGTGACCAGCTGTGTTACAATGCTTAGCAACAGGGAACCCAGTGCAAGTTTCTTAACACCTCAAGCTCGCCAAATCATTGTCTCTGTGTATGTTACAGGTCAAACTTATATTCAGGTTAAGATTTTTTAACATACACTGTCGGTTAATCTTCATTTTTTTTGTCTCCTAGCCCTAATCCTTGAATAATTAGGGCCATGAGACAAAGGAAAATAAAGATCAACCCAGGCTACAAAATTTTAACCTGAATTTAATTTTGACCTGAACATGTACACCCAGTTTCACTGATGTACAGGGCCCAGTTGTTCGAAGGCCGATTAGTGCTTAACCCAGGGTTAAATTTAACGCGAGTTTCTTTTTCTTTTGTTCAAAAACATTTTCTTGGTAGTTTTTTCTCTTATTTTGAAGAGCATTCAATCATCAACTTCTTGATAAAAAGAATTAAACTGAATTTACTTTTCAAGCTTTGTTATCTGAATTCAAATTTCGCACCAACCCTAGGTTATCTTAACTCAGCTTTGAACAACCCGACCCAGAACTGTAGATAGCATGGCAATGGCAACAGGAGATAAAGTAAACTTAGCCTGAAGTTTTGCAAGAAAAGTCCTTCCTGATCACAGAAAATAATTGCCTGAATGCTCTTTTGTGCAACTTATACTTCCACTGATGAAGGCCCCAGGCCCCAACATTCGGACAGCAAAACAATCTGTAACATGACCCTTCTTTCCATATTTTTTTTCACTTTAAAGGAATATATGCATGCGAAATAATCTGACTGTTTTTGTTTGTCTACCTATGATAATGTAATTTATTCTGAATTTTTTGTTGTTGTTTTCTTTTTTTTTTTTCTTTTTTGCTTATTATTGCTCTTTGTATAAGTAAATATATTATTTATTATTTTGCTGTCAGGCTTTTTTTGGGTTTATTTTCTTTTGCTTTGCTTGTTTTTCAATTAATTTAAACATTAACTACACTTTAGGCACAGAAGCTACTCGTGGTCTTGTTGACAATTTGAAAGAATTTGTGGATAGTTTTTGGAATGCAGGTACAGTAAGCCTTTCTCGTAATAATTTACAGAATATTCACGCATGTTTCAATGTAAAAACTGAACTCATTTGAGACCACTGGTAGTTTTGCAGTTGCTTTTATTTTAAAGAAAGCAATATGATGTTGCTCTTTGTGTCTGCCTAGTGATGGTTTGAATTCATTATAAATTAGTAAACCTCTTTTTCATCTTCGTCCCAGAAGTCAGCCCTCCTGTGGTGTCAGCGGCTATTAAAGCAGAAAATGGTGAGAAGTTGTCCACACCAAGAAAAACACCAATGGAAAAAGTTCGTACAACTCTATCTTTGCTGTTACTTGCAGAATGTATTGTATTTCTAATCTAATGACTATAGGTATTGTTAGATCATTGGTTAAAGAATATTATTTGGCTCTTCCTTTTTACAGATGCAAGAACGACTGGAGAAATCTCAAGAAGAGCTAATTGAAATGCAGGTAAGATAATTAATTTTTTGTTACATTTGAGATCTATTAAACAATTTTTGGATGAGGTTTTTGTGATATTTTGGGAATAATCAAGGTCAAGGTAAGCGTTATCTACCTTGGCCTTCAGCCTGGCTGATACACCATCGCAAGGAACCAATTTGACGTTGCTGTTGGAAATTATGCATTGCACGCACAACCTACAGATTAGTCAGTTATCTGTGAGCAGATAACTAACTAATCTGTACATGTAGGTTGTGCTGATTTCTAAAATTTTCTATAGGATCTTAGGCAATGAGGAGACAGATAGTGAGTACAATGTATAATAATTTATGTTATTTGACGTAATAAATAAATTTACAAGCTTTTACATTGATTCTACATGTATAAACCATAATAACAGTTACACTGTAATAAAAGTAAGTCTACAATGTTTTCCTTGATATAGCAAAGATATCAACGAGAGATAGAAAAGCTTGAACGTGACAACCGTGAACTAAGAAAGCAAGTCATCATTCTTAAGGGTGACAGTGTGCCAACACCACGCAAGATTAAGGTAAATTGAAATCTCCTTTCTAGCCTTGACCACACCCTGAAACCTGAATCCTGAAAGATGAACAATTTGCTACCTTAAATCTTGTCATGTTCTTATTAAATTAATACAAGCTATGTAGCTATCATAAAAATATGTAAGCTGTCATGGAAGTCTGCTATTCTAATTCATTTGCTTAATCAGGAAAAACCCTTTTTTGCATTTATGTACATTGAACAAACTTAATTTGGGTAATTATGTGATTTTCATCACCAGTTTCACTCTTCATTGAGCCTTAAATGGAGGATTGTCTTTTTCATGTAGTCCCATAAAAAACTTAAAACTGCAGCATAATTTTAAAAGGAGTCAATATTTTGCCGATTAGACTGAAGTGAAAAATGAGAATGTGAAACTTTTTCAAAATCACTGTTTGATGTGTAACAAAATTTTATTGTTTTCCTTAGAAATCTTTGATTGACATGTATTCTGATGTGTTGGACCTTCTATCAGAGTATGATGCAAGTTACAACACGACTGATCATCTCCCAAGGGTATGTTTATAGTGGTTGAGCATGGATGTAAGCTTTGGAACGACTGCACCTTATCTTTTAATGTGGCTAAATGGGGTTTAGGCTAAGTTAAACATGAAACAATGCTGGCCAGAGGTTTCTCCCAGGGCTGGTGTGTGTGTGTGAGGGGGAGGGGGGGGGGGGGGGGCCCCTGGGGGGGTTCCACGGTTTTTACCGTGGGGTTACAGATTAAAGCTTTTTTTGTATTCTTGTCTCTCTATCGGGGCGTTTTTCTCTTTTTTTTTCCCCCCCCCTTCCCCCCCCCTTCTGCTGTGGTGAGTGGGGGGAGAGTTTTTTTTTTCACTTTTTTTTTACTGTCCGTGGGGTGGGGGGGGGGGGGGGGGGGGGGGGGGGGGGGGGGGGGGGGTGCCTGCAGGGGCTTCACATGCTTTACAGCTTGGCTTCAGATGTCAAGTCATTTTGCATTCATGTCTCGCTATCGGGCAGTTTTTCGCTAGTTTTTTAGCCCCAGCCTTCCCATCCCTCTTAGCTTGGTAAGTGTGTGGTAAGTATCTTAGTTTCCACTGTTTTTTCAGTGCCTGGTGGCTGCCGCTCACAGGGTTGTCATGGATACCCTACACATTCGGCTTGGTGTTATTTTTGGCTCCACCTTCCTTTCAGGCACCATTCCCCAAGCTCATCTATTGTTGATGGGTTTAAATAGCCTTGAAGTAAAATATTTGGCCACAACAAGTTCAATAACTTCATTAAAAAATAAAAACAAAGAAATTAATACTGATTGAAAGGCAGGGGGCAAATAATTTTGTCCACCAATTCTAAAAATGTTAGTCACAATTCATTGCAATTTTCGTGGTATCTTTTTTTCAGGTTGTAGTAGTTGGTGATCAGAGTGCTGGTAAAACAAGTGTTTTAGAGATGATTGCGCAGGCTAGAATCTTTCCAAGGTCAGTTGCTGGAGATGGCTTTGCGACTTGATCTGCCTCTGGATACACCACTGTCGCTGTCATCACTATAGTCATTAGGGAGTTTTAGCATCGACGATGGCTACGACAGCAAAATCATCACTTTTAAAATGACTTAGCGTTTTTCAAACTTTATCGCAAAATGAAAATGTCTAATGTAGGTAAATTTCTCTGGAGTTGATTTCTTGGGGACCCACTTAAGTTTAGAAAGAGAAAGAAAATTTTCCTGTCTCTTGTTTATTTCCTCCATAAAACGTGAAATTAGGCATTTTCACGTCCTAGTCATGGAGCAATGGGAAAGAAATGTACAAAAAAGCGTGATGCAGGTGCAAACTTGATGTTTCGTTTAATAAACCCATAGCTGTTTTGACGTTCTTGTAGCTGTCACTGTCCTTGTTGCTAAAACTCCCTATTGCATCATTCTCGCCATAACGCTCATCATCATTATCATCATCATTACCATTGTCATTGTCCTCCTCTTCGCCATTATCATCGCCATCATCATATTCAATATTTCAATCATCATCATTATCATCATCGTATCATCATCATTATTGTATGTTTGTCATGTTTTTTGTCTGCATTTGTGGCAAGAATCCTTCTCAAAATGGGTTGTGCAAATTTTTCATTATTTAAACCACAATAGAATGCAGCCTTACAAATTACATGTTACTATCCTTAAGAACAATTCTCTGTAACATTTGAGCAAAGTGGGAAATAAAAAATTTTGACCCCTCTCCCCTCAAATTTTGCATGCAATTAGATATTGTGGGGGCATGTTTAAAAATGCAGTTTGTTCGGGTTGCTACTTACTACTACTATTGTTGTCAACAATAAAGTAGTAACCTGAACAAAGTGCATTTTTAAACATCCCCCCCCCTCACAATATCTAATTGCTTACAAAATTTTAGGGAGGGGGGGTCAAATTTTTCATTTCCCACTTTGCTTGTCTGTTACAGAGAAGTGCTCTCAAGTCTTTCTCAGCAACTGTAAATTAGCATCTTTTTTCATCTCCTTGTGGTTGAATTTACAAAGTGGTTTTTATTTCTTATGTTCAGTGATTTACCCCACCCATCAATTTATTTTGTGCTATCACACTTGCTTAAGGAAAATAATATAAAATACAGAAATCTATCTAACAATACATTCCCTTATGCTTTTATAACTCTTTGTGTTGGCCTGAAATTCATCCGATTACTTCGAGTTGTTTTCTCCTCTCAACAACGTCTGAATCGACTGGCCGTTAATGCCATCCAGTGACATCACTCACTACCCTAAAACCGATTGATTGGTTGTCTAAACATTTGCATAATTATGTATAATTGTGAAAAATTTTAGCGGGATTGTCGCTTGCTATTCAGCGGATCGCATGCCTGGCATTCTTTCGTTTAGTTCAAACATTTTGATAACCTTAATCTTTATCTTAAACAGCAAAATTGCCCTTGTCTTCGAAACTGAAATGCTAAATTGAACTGCGAATGAAGAATCATTGTGGAGAGTCGGTAGTTTTTTCATTTAGAGCCGCTTTGTGTTTTCGGCAGCCGGGGATTTTGTTTACGCAAAGTTTTCTGAGATCAATGTTATAATTCGACCTTCTTGCTATTTTTACCGTCAAGTGTAATGATTCTGTTAGCTTTTCTTTCTTGTCTCCTTGTTTTTTTTCTTCGTTAAGGACCATATAGCTTCTTTTCAATTAAAGCAAATCATTGTGTTTTTGAACTAAGTGTTCCGTGTGTGTGTTTATTTCATTGCGTGATTGCGACCGAGTTTGATTGTAGAATTTAGTACAAACGGTTCGGAAAAAATAAAGCAGTTCTGTATCATGCAGACATTTCCAAACGATATTTCTCGGTTTGCCTCTTGAAAATCGTGTTTTACTTTTTGCATGAATTAAAGCAAAGGTCAAGGAGTAGTGACGTCACTGGACAGCATTAATGGCCGGTCGATTCAGATGTTACTGAGGGAGTAATAACGACTCTAAGTAATCAGATGACATTCAGGCTATCTTTGTGTTTCTTGCTAGTAACGTGGCAGTAATACTTAAACCAGTTTATTTATAGAAGGTATAAATTCATTTGCAGAGGTTCAGGGCAGATGATGACTCGAGCACCTGTTATGGTAAATAATTGTTTCCATTTTTTGTTAGGCAGGACTGTCACTAACATTTCAACTTACTGGAGAATTGAACAACTAGGAAGTTCTTTTGGTCTTATGTTCCTTTTGTTGCCTATTAAAGTAACCATGCGTGGTGCTTATAGTAGCTGGGCAGGTACCTATCCCCTGGACCTTAGTGTCAGCCCAGTAGATAACAGTGGGACCCGGTTAATACAGCCACCATTGGGCCCAAAAAAAATTGGCTGTATTAACGTGGTGGCCGTATTAATGAGGGCTTTTTTACAAGAAAATGTATGGTGGTTTTTGCCAGGCAGCAAAAAAAAAGGGCCATAGTAATGAGGTGGCCATAAGGCGGGGTTCCACTGTATCTCATTGGTCATCCATAATTTTTAACTGCCGCCTGATTAGCTCAGTTGGGAGAGTGCCGGTCTGCTGAGCTGGAGGTCGCGGGTTCAAACCCCGGCCAGACCAACACTTAGGGTCTTTCTTTAGAAGAAAGTGCTGCCTTTGTAATGTCATCTGCAAATGGTTAGACTTTCTAGTCTTCTCGGATAAGGACGAAAAACCGTAGGTCCTGTTTCACAGCACTTTCACTGATCTGTTCTTGTGGGACGTAAAAGAACCCACACTACTGTTCGAAAAGAGTAAGGGACAGAGACCCCCGTGGTGTGGCCAACCTTTATGGGTTGTGGGATTGGGTAGGGATGGCACCTTGCATGGGACCTATGAGTCCTGTTCGTGCCTGTTCCGTCTGGGTAGGCCTGTGTCCAGAAAAGCTTGTAAAACAAAACAATAAAACAAGTAATCGTATTTCTTAATAATCTAAACCAAAGTTGTGAGGAAGTCCTGGATGTCACAGTTCTGAAAAAAATTAAAAGAAGAGATAGAGCAGCTAAAAAATATTATGCCATGCCAAGTGTAGAAATGAATTTTCTATATTTTTTTAGTACGCCTGAACAACGTACTTAGCTTCTTAGCTTGTATTGGATTACGACTTTGAGATGGACGCTTTATAAGTCTGACAAACTGACATGGCTTGCTGACAAGATCATTTGTTATTTGCTATTAAAAACCGGAAAGGACATAACCTAGGTCTATTGAAGAACTGAATTTCGAGCTCATTTGTTTGCAACATGTAGAACTCTTGGCCCCGTCTGTAATAGGCGAATCAAGGTATTTATAAGGCGGAATAAAATGGCAACAAATGTAGAACATGGCCGTACTAAGTGTACTAACGTACTAAGACCGAATTGAACTAGGAACGTAGAACACAGCCGTACCGACTGTACTAACGTGAGTAAGGCAGAATAAACTGCCAACATACATAGAACGTGGGCGCACTAAGCATACTAACGTCAGTAGGGCACGGTGCCTCTTGGTGCAGTCTGGTGCAATTTGGTGCAACTTGGTGTAGTTTGGTGCAGCTTGGTGCAATTTGGTGAACTTTGGTGCAGATTGGTGCATTCTGGTGCAGATTGGTGCAACTTGGTACAGAGTGGTGCAACTTGGTGTAGTTTGGTGCAACTTGATGCAGTTTGGTGCAACTTGGTGTAGTTTGGTGTAACTTGGTGCAGTTTGGTGCAACTCGGTCCAGATTGGTGCAACTTGGTACAGTGTGGTGCAAGTTGGTGCAGTTTGGTGCAACTTGGTACAATGTGGTGCAACTTGGTGCAGATTGGTGCAACTTGATGCAGATTGTGCAACTTGGTGCAGATTGGTGCAACTTGGTGCAGAGTGGTACAATTTTGTGCAACTTGGTGCAGTTTGGTGCAACTTGGTGCGGATTGGTGCAACTTGGTGCAATTTGGTGCAACTTCGTGCAACTTGGCCATTTTGGTGCAACTTGGTACAGTTTGGTGCAACTTGGTGCAGTTTGGTGAAACTTGGTCCAGATTGGTGCAACTTGGTACAGTGTGGTGCAAGTTGGTGCAAGTTGGTGCAGTTTGGTGCAACTTGGTACAATGTGGTGCAACTTGGTGCAGTTTGGTGCAACTTGGTGCAGATTGGCGCAACTTGATGCAGATTGTGCAACTTGGTGCAGTTTGGTGCAGATTGGTGCAACTTTATGCGGAGTGGTGCAATTTGGTGCAACTTGGTGCAGATTGGTTCAGTTTGGTGCTGATTGGTGCAACTTGGTACAATGTGGTGCAACTTGGTGCGGTTTGGTGCAACTTGGTGCAGATTGGTGTAACTTGGTGCAGATTGGTGCAGATTGGTGCAACTTAGTGCAGTTTGGTGCAACTTGGTGCAGATTGGTGCAACTTGGTACAATTTGGTGCAACTTGGTGTAACTTGGTGCAGTTTGGTGCAGTTTTGTGCAACTTGCTGCACATTGGTGCAACTTGGTGCAGTGTGGTGCAACTTGGTGGAAGTTGGTAAAACGTGGTGCAGTTTGGTGCAACGTAATGCAGATTGGTACAATTTGGTGCAACTTGGTGCAGATTGGTGCAACTTGATGCAGATTGTGCAACTTGGTGCAGATTGGTGCAACTTGGTGCAGAGTGGTACAATTTTGTGCAACGTGGTGCAGTTTGGTGCAACTTGGTGCGGATTGGTGCAACTTGGTGCAATTTGGTGCAACTTCGTGCAACTTGGCCAGTTTGGTGCAACTTGGTACAGTTTGGTGCAACTTGGTGCAGTTTGGTGAAACTTGGTCCAGATTGGTGCAACTTGGTACAGTGTGGTGCAAGTTGGTGCAAGTTGGTGCAGTTTGGTGCAACTTGGTACAATGTGGTGCAACTTGGTGCAGTTTGGTGCAACTTGGTGCAGATTGGCGCAACTTGATGCAGATTGTGCAACTTGGTGCAGTTTGGTGCAGATTGGTGCAACTTTATGCGGAGTGGTGCAATTTGGTGCAACTTGGTGCAGATTGGTTCAGTTTGGTGCTGATTGGTGCAACTTGGTACAATGTGGTGCAACTTGGTGCGGTTTGGTGCAACTTGGTGCAGATTGGTGTAACTTGGTGCAGATTGGTGCAGATTGGTGCAACTTAGTGCAGTTTGGTGCAACTTGGTGCAGATTGGTGCAACTTGGTACAATTTGGTGCAACTTGGTGTAACTTGGTGCAGTTTGGTGCAGTTTTGTGCAACTTGCTGCACATTGGTGCAACTTGGTGCAGTGTGGTGCAACTTGGTGGAAGTTGGTAAAACGTGGTGCAGTTTGGTGCAACTTAATGCAGATTGGTACAATTTGGTGCAACTTGGTGCAGATTGGTGCAACTTGGTGCAGTTTGGTGCAACTTGGTCCAGATTGGTGCAACTTGGTACAGTGTGGTGCAAGTTGGTGCAAGTTGGTGCAGTTTGGTGCAACTTGGTACAATGTGGTGCAACGTGGTGCAGTTTGGTGCAACTTGGTGCAGATTGGCACAACTTGATGCAGATTGTGCAACTTGGTGCAGTTTGGTGCAGATTGGTGCAACTTTATGCGGAGATGTGCAATTTGGTGCAACTTGGTGCAGATTGGTTCAGTTTGGTGCTGATTGGTGCAACTTGGTGCAGTTTGGTGCAACTTGGTGCAGATTGGTGTAACTTGGTGCAGATTGGTGCAATTTGGTGCAGATTGGTGCAACTTAGTGCAGTTTGGTGCAACTTGGTACAGTTTGGTGCAACTTGGTGTAACTTAGTGCAGTTTGGTGCAACTTGGTGCAGATTGGTGCAACTTGGTACAGTTTGGTGCAACTTGGTGTAACTTGGTGCAGTTTGGTGCAGTTTTGTGCGACTTGCTGCACATTGGTGCAACTTGGTGCAGTGTGGTGCAACTTGGTGCAAGTTGGTAAAACGTGGTGCAGTTTGGTGCAACATAATGCAGATTGGTACAATTTGGTGCAACTTGGTGCAGATTGGTGCAACTAGGTGCAGTTTGGTGCAACTTGGTACAGTGTGGTGCAAGTTGGTGCAAGTTGGTGCAGTTTGGTGCAACTAGGTACAATGTGGTGCAACTCGGTGCAGTTTGGTCCAACTTGGTACAGATTGGTGCAACTTGATGCAGATTGTGCAACTTGGTGCAGATTGGTGCAACTTGGTGCAGAGTGGTGCAACTTGGTGTAGATTGGTTCAGTTTGGTGCAACTTGGTGCAGACTGGTGCAACTTGGTACAATGTGGTGCAACTTGGTGCAGTTTGGTTCAACTTGGTGCAGATTGGTGTAACTTGGTGCAGATTGGTGCAACTTGGTGCAGATTGTGCAACTGGGTGCAGATTGGTGCAACTTGGTTCAGAGTGGTGCAATTTGGTGCAACTTGGTGTAGTTTGGTGCAACTTGGTGCGGATTGGTACAACTTGACGGCAAGTGGTGCAACTTGGTGCAACTTGGTGCAACTTGGTGCGGTTTGGTGCAACTTGGTACAGTTTGGTGCAACTTGGTGCAGACTGGTGCAACTTGGTGCAGACTGGTGACTCTTGGTGCAGTTTGGTGTAACTTGGTGCAAATTGGTGCAGATTGGTGCAAGTTGATACAGTTTGGTGCACCTTGGTGTAACTTGGTGCAGTTTGGTGCACATTGGTGCATTTTGGTGCAGATTGGTGCAACTTGGTGAAGTGTGGTGCAACTTGGTGCAGATTGGTGCAACTTTGTACAGTTTGGTGCAACTTGGTGCAGTTTGGTGCACATTGGTGCAACTTGGTGCAGATTAGTGCAACTTGGTGCAGTGTGGTGCAACTTGGTGCAGTGGGTGCAACTTGGTGCAGTTTGGTGCAACGTGGTGCTGTTTGGTGCAACGTGGTGGAGAGTGGTGCAATTTGGTGCAACTTGGTGCAGATTGGTGCAACTTGGTGCAGTTTGGTGTAACTTGGTGCAGTTTGGTGCAGTTTGTGTGCAATTTAGTGCACATTGGTGCATTTTGGTGCAACTTGGTGCAGATTGGGAGAATTTTGTGCAACTTGGTTAAGATTGGTGCAACTTGGTACACAGTGTTGCAATTTGGTGCAGTTTGATGGAACTTGTTGCAGATTAGTGCAACTTGGTGCAATTTGGGGCAACTTTTTGCAGATTGGTGCAACTAGGTGCAATTTGCTGCAGCTTTGTGCGACTTGGTACAGAGTGGTGCAACTTGGTGCAGATTGGTGCATATCGGTGCAGTTTGGTGGAACTTGGTGCAGTTTGGTGCAACTTGGTGCAGTTTGGTGCATTTTGGTGCAGTTTGTTGGAACGTGGTTTAGTTTGGTGCAACTTGATGCAGTCTGGTACACCTTGGTGGAGATTGGTTCAACTTGGTGGAGTTTGGTGCAGATTGGTGCAACTTTGTACTGAGTGGTGCAACTTAGTGCAAGCTTTTAGAGTATTCAGTTTATGTTGCTCATACTCTTCTCTTGCGTCACCTGCATTAACCTGCTAACCAAGCGACCAATATGCACCAAACTGCAACAAGTTGCACCGGTCTGCAGCAAGTTGCATAAAAGTGCAGCAAGTTGCACCAAACTTCTTCCGAATATATATGGATTTAAAAAGAAAATTGCTGTAAAATATGAAACGGAAAAATATATAAGTCTGCATAGTAAAAAACAAAGGATTTCTTTGAAGCTAAATGGATAGTGTCGCCTCTTGTAAATGCTTAACTATTTAAAGGTTTTAATAAGCATCCACATTTCTAGTTTGTTTGAATTTTATTCTTTTTCTTTTTTTTTTTTGGTTACCGTCTATTGTTAGTGATATTGGTTTTTTTTGTATTTTATTATTAGTATTAGTAATATTAGTTGTAACATTATAATTATGTAGGTAAGTAACTTATTTGCTGTATTAATATCAATTTGTTTCAATAAAGAATTATATTAAAAAAAAAAAAAGTTGCACCAAACTGCACCAAATTGCACCAATCTGCACCAAGTGGGAGTATGTTCGCCCATATAATCATGCTCAACCCACTTATGAAATGACTCCTTGGTTGAAACCTTTTAGAGTATTCAGTTTACGTTGTTAAAACTCTTCTCGTGCATCGCTAGTAAAGGACAACAGAAGGTCAAGATTGTGTTGATAAAAACACCAAAACACCGTTTCCCCTCAAGGTTTGGTTCAAATTCTTTCAGTGCTATGAAAACGATTTTGGCCTGTGGCCATAATTGGCTAGCAATGTAACATTTTTGACCGAAAAAGGGTTGTAATTTTTTTTCTTATTAACCCTTTTAGGCTGCAGCAGCGACATATTAGGGAAAACTGTATCGAAATAGCTTAAACAGGGGATTTGAAAGCTCTTGACCGCAAGTGTGCTGACAGTGCATATTTTGTTAACGCGGCCATATTCGCGATATAAGTTAGCATTTTTTAGCCTTGAAAACGTTATTGATGCCCTAAATACGGCCATGTTCTCAAAAAGGTGGCATTTATTTTTCGGAGTTAGTACGTTAGTATACTTAATACGGCCATGTTTTACATATGTTGGTATTAAATTTGGCCTTACTCTGTTTGCACGCTTAGTACAGTCGTGTTCTACATATGTTTGTATTTTATTTGACCTTCGTTCGTACGCTTAGTACGGCCATGTTCTATGTATCTTGTTATTTTATTCGGTCTTAGTACGTTAGTACACTTAGTTCAGCCACGTTCTATGTATGCTGGTCAATTATTTGGCCCTAGTACGGCCATGTTTTTTGTACGTTATGACGGTCAGTACTGCTGTGTTCTACGTTTTTTGGCATTCAATTAGTCTTAGTACGTTAGTACCCTTAGTAAGGCTATGTTCCATTCCGCCTTGTTCTCGTTGGTATGCTTAGTACGGCCATGTTCCATTTTCATCCGCATGTATGCATGGCTTTTGTGGGCTTTGTCAGTCATGTTTTACGTCTATCAATTAGTGTTTTCATAAGTTTTACAGCAAACACAGAGCACAGAATAAAGCAAAGACAACTGATAAATAAAAATATGCAGTGACTTTACGCTTCACGCCCTCTTCACGCTTAACTTTCTGGAGTAGTAAGTAAAGACATCAGAATCCAGTATACATTGAGTTCAATAAACTAAAAAATAACTCACTAAATTCCAATTCCCCTATCAGGCGTACTATGCAAAAAAAAGAATAGAAAGAGGTGCCTAGAACTCACAGCATATGTTCTTTTCACATGAACAGCAAACACCTACTTAAGATAGATTTGTAACTGTATCTTCTTTTGTTTAAGGTAACATTGAGTGAAGGGCCAAACCACATGGCTCAGTTTAAAGGGAGCTCTCATCGATATGACCTTACTCAAGAAGATGAGGTACATGTTGCAACTTACAGAAGCAAGTAATTTGAATTCCCCAAAAAATTTCACTTTCCCTTAAGGTAATTCAAGAACAGAATTCACTAGCCTGATAACAAAATTCACTAGCCTCGGGCTATCGGACACAACTTTCTTTGGTTGCACACTAGAAATGAGAGGGGGTGAACTTATAATTTACCAAGGTGGTGTTAAATGTTGTGAGAAATGAGGAGAATGGTAGGGGAAAAGGGCGGAAGTAGGACTGAGGTGCTCATCGCTAGCACATGGATGGTAAGGTGGGCAGAAAATGAAGACCTAGAAACAAAGAGTGGTTAGAGTGACTGTTAAGCTGATTTTGAGGGGAAGGGCATCTTTCCTACTTTACTCGGGGTTCTGTAAAAAACTAGCCCCTGGTCAAATCTGTTGATAATTGAAGATCTTGTTGTTCCTTGCACAGCATATGCTGAGATAGCTGTTTTGAACTATTTTCAAGTGATTTTGAGGGGTTCTTTGTTTTTGAGTCTTTGGTCTTTGGCCTTTGTTTTGTACCCACCCAGTAGATGTGAGCTGTGTAATGTTTGTACTCTTTCAGCTTAGAGCCCTCCGACAAGAAATTGAAATTCGAATGCGGAACAGTGTAAAACGTGGACAAACAGTTAGTGGAGAGGTAGGGTTTTTTTTATAAATAACTTTTCATGTAATTGCTAATAAGCTTACAGTCTTGCTGCGAGGCTTAGAGACCCATTTGTGAGGTAGAGTAATTATTGTTTGTTATTTTATATCCTTATCTTCCAGGTAATATCACTTAGTGTGAAAGGGCCAGGACTTCATCGGATGGTGTTAGTTGATCTTCCAGGAATTATTGGGGTTAGTTTTCCAATAATATATGTACATACAGTTGATTGGCTTTCTCTTAAAGCTAGATTAAGTTTTTGCTTGTAGTAAAGCATTTGTATTGTTAAAATACATTCGAAGCTCTCCTTTTGACCACTCACGTAAGCGACCAGCTCAAGTTACGACCACCTTTGTGAAACCTCGTTTGAACTGTGACTTCAACTTTGTAGTGAAAAGCTCTGGTAAGTGACTGCGACCATTTTTGGGATTACTCACCGGAACTTTTCCTTTGTTTTTTAGCTCTCGTAGCCGACCACCCTAAATTATTTTACCATGCGGTCCCTTTTGAGAGCTTCGACTGTAACTGATTTAAGAATTTTTCTTTTGCAGACAGTCACGGCTGGGATGGCAGAAAACACCAGGGGTGATATTGTAGAAATGAGCAGGTACATATTTTATATATTCATGCAGGGTTACTGCCTCCTCTGCAGGACTTCCCAAGGCTCAGTGGGGAACACGCGAGAGCTGGAGACAAGCGAGAAGCGCGAGAGGGGGATGATGAGAACGAGCGTAGAGCACAAGCTTTTTCTCCCCTTCTCACTACTCCCTTCGTCCCCTCCCGCTTTCCCGTAAAAATCAACTCAAAATATCCCCAAAAATTCATCGCGAGCGACTGAGGACGAGGTTACAAATATTTTTTCTCATCTTTTTTAAGAAAAGACGTCTGCATGCGCAGGTGCGCAAATGCAGTGCAGGCGTTTTCTTCGAGCGTGCGAATCTTTTAGCTCCCTAAAGGTTGATTTCCACTGACGCGTTTTTGGCTACTCACGTTAACGCACGTAAATTTTAATCACCTAAATAAAATAGAGGCAACATAAAAAGTGCTGAGCTTAAACAAAAAGTTGAGCGAGTTTCAACTTTTACGCTTACGAGCGACCTTTCATGCATTGGCTCTATTTTATTTGTGAACGTAAATTTTACGCACATACGCACGTAAAAATTACGCGACACTGGAAATCAACCCTAATGGTTGCTATTTCTATTCTTTTCAACCTTCCTGTGTCATAAAATCAAAGATGGTGGCTACAACAACAAACATAAAGAAGTTACTATAGTTTTCACCGACCCAAAACACGCCTGCTCTACAGGCTAGAAAACATTATGCAAGACATGAGAATTTTTGTGAAAATCTTTGTCTCCGCAACAGAATTTTGTCGCAGTAACAAGACACGGAAAATCAAACCGGACTGAATTTGTGCGACTTGTTGCGGCGACAAAATTCTGTTGCAGAGACAAAGATTTTCACAAAATTTCTCCAGTACACGCGAAGCGATTTGTCGCCGCGATGTGTCGGCGCAACATGTTGGTGCAACTTGTCGCCTAGTGTGTACCGACCTTTAAAGAACGAGATATATTAACACACACACTTTATTTAACAAAAATTAACCTTATTTCTCTGTGCACTTCACCTGATAAAATTCGGGCAACATGACTCAGCATTTCGGGCGACATAACTCCGGAAGAGATGACTGTCAGGCGACTTGACCGGTTACCGTTTGCTCTGTGCTACTAAGAATATAGAAGAACGGTGGTGACAACATGGAACTACACATGGCGTAACTTAGACATTCCAAGCCTAAAGTAGATGTGTCTGGACCTCTTCTTAGAAGAGACCCCCTGTGGTTCGTTTCTTGTAAGCGACCACATCCTGTATGTGATCATTCAGTCTTTGTATGTTTATGGTCGCTTATGGGAGGTTCGACTGTATTGATATTGATATTAAGTTTTATGATATAATCTTATGGTTTTTATTTCCTATTTTTTTGTTTAGAAAGTACATGAAGAATCCAAATGCTATCATCTTGTGCATACAAGGTAAGAAAATAAATTCTCGTATTTTCTGGCTGATGGTGATCATGACTAAAAAGAAAAGTGAATATTGTATGCGATTTGTTGTGCACAACAAAATAATATGCCAAAACAAAATAATAATGTAAAACCAAGTAATCAGCACAAACAAATAATAGAGATACTTCAGGGCGTGAAATAATTTTTTGACTGTTGCTGGTCATGCCGAGCAGCCAAAATATATTGACTGTTGTGTGGAATTATAAGGGGAAGGGGGATACCCTGACTGTTGTTTAAGTCAAAAAAAGGAAACAAGCTTGCGAGAGGTACATGGTGCTAAGTGTGCAGTTCTTAGAAAATGAGTTTAGGGGGAACATTTTTCGTCGACAGATGGTGCCATTGATGCTGAACGAAGCAATGTTACTGATTTAGTGAGCAGCATGGATCCCGCAGGTAAGAAAATTTCATATTTTGTATTCCATCCACTGAACCTCAAAGGTGAGTACAGTCCACTCTCTCGAAAGTGGATACCTTTGGGGCGGCACTAAGTGCTTGTCATAGAGAGATTTTCATCTTATAGAGAGTCAAATAAGGGGAGTAAAGAAAAGCAGGGACCAACTATAGGTGACGGTTTTACTAAGGTGTGCTTATCTTATAGAGGTGTGCAATAAGAGAAAATCAACTGTACTTTCAATGAAAATCATGCTGTTGGCATTGATGGAGTCATATGAAAAAAATTCACTTTATAGGGATAGCACAGTAACTGGTAACCCAGTAGTTTTCATTGAGTTGCCCCCAAATGAGGACAGAACCATATAATTCAAATGAACTTAACGAGGTCAAGAATCCCAAATGGCAGAAGGCAAACCAGTTTTATATTTTACAAGCATTTCCGAAAGGAGATGAACTCGGGATACCAAGAACAAATCTAGTCAGCGGTTATTTTATTTAACAGGGCTGTCATTAAGAGGCGGGAGCCGGGAATTTCCCCCTAGCTACTATAAACGTGGCCCCCGGCTACTTTCAAAGGAATATAGAATAAAAATAGAACCAAAAGAAATCTCTTGCTGTTTGATTCCCCACCTACTTTTCGTATTTACCCGGCAACTTAAAATCTTAGCGACAATCCTGGGTTAAGGCGGGAATTGAACTATGGGCCCCAGAATACAATTCCAGCGCTGCCTCCCCCTAAATTTCTGGGTTTGAATCCTTTGAGAGCGTGGAAAGGGTCTTTTTTAGTAACCTAGATTTCATTTCAAGATTTTTTGGACTTGTAAAATTTATTAGCAGGTGTAAAGGGACGTTATTTTTGTTGGGTTTGCAGGAAAGAGGACTATTTTTGTGCTGACTAAAGTTGACTTAGCTGAACAAAATGATGCTAACCCAAGCAGGGTATGACTTTGTATGCTCTTACTAAGATCGAAATACAGTCGAACCGCCCTTAAGCGACCACCGAAAATGCAAAACTGAGTGGTCGCTTACGGGAGGTGCTCGTTTTCAAGAATCGAACCACAGAGGGTCTCTTTCGAGGAGAGGTCTGAGCACATCTACTTCATGGAAGATAATTTTATTGGATGCAATTTCTAAGTAACGCCATGTGTAGTTCCATGTTTTCTAAGTAGCATAGTGCACACAGCGAAAATAGAGACAAGAGAATGCGTCAAGTGGTCCCTTACAAGAGGTTAAAAACAATGGAAAATCATGAACTGTCAGGCCCAAAACGTAGTCGCGGTCGCTTACAGGAGGTGATCGTTTACTAGAGGTTCCAACTGTAAGGCTTTGACTGGGAAAATTATTTTATTTTGGATTGGCGGTCGCTTATGGCAGGGGGAAGAAGTGGTCGTACATGGCGGTTCAACTGTAGTGCTTATGTGGTTTTTCGCTCCTGCATAAAGTTTCCTTCATATTTCATGGCAGTATTAACACACTGCGATTACATCTTAGTATTCTGGTCATGATAACAATTTTTTGCTAATATTAATGGTCCTGCATTTCACACTGATATTGTAGATAAAACAGATACTGGAAGGCAAGTTATTTCCAATGAAGGCTCTGGGCTACTTTGCTGTGGTGACTGGAACTGGTAAACAATTAAACCTCTTTAAGTGCCTGATAGTTTGATGTCTCTCCGTGAATTTCTAGAGCGTTTAACATAAGGATATGCTAATCTGTGTTGATTCCTCTCTGTGTGTCGCCAGGAAACACAAATGAAGGCATTGATACTATCCGAAGCTATGAAGAGGAATTTTTCAGACAATCAAAGCTTTTTAAGTGAGTGTCGAAAATACGTCATAGATATGATAGGTTTATCGAAGTTGTGTTCAAGTCAAAAGGAAAGTAGATAGGTATGACAACAGCGCCACTCCCAACCAATCAGAGCCAGGAAAAATTGAAAAACTGCCGTATGCATTTTCCCGCGCTTAACACTGGTAACCTACATTTGCCTCAAATTCTGATTGTTTGTTTTGATTCTCTGTCGTTGACCTGATTGGCTGAATTCAAACTTTGATTGTAGTTATTGAAATATAAGGTGACATACATCGCCAAACAGGTGCTGCGTTTTTGATAACAAGGCTTTCAATTAAGTTGTTAATGGTTATTTTTTGTATTTTTGCTTCTTAGGTCTGGAGTATTCAAAGCCAGTCAGATGACAACCCAGAATTTAAGCTTTGCCGTTTCCCACTGTTTCTGGAAAATGGTTCGAGAGTCAATTGAGCAGCAAGCAGATTCTTTCAAAGGTTTGTTGTATTGACGCTTTACAACGGTTTCGCTACTTATCAAATTCGCTACGTTCGAGTTTGCTACCTAAATATTCGTCTCGTTGCCTATTGGCAAAGTCCAAAACTTGCACCCTCTGAGCGGCAAGTTTTAATGTGCTTGACTGATTTGGTGTGTGTTCTATTCTGTTTTAACCGTTTGTAGTAAAGACCGTGGCCAGCAGAGATCTTTACTTCTGGCAGATTTAAAAACTCAGTTGAAAATTAAATTCCTAACAACTCTGCGACCAGTCCGTCTTATTCTTAAAATTTACACAGGCGACTGCAGACGCGCGAGTAAGAAGGTCTGTAGATTGGTGCAATCGGTAGATCCGTGGATCGTTGGATCTGTAGATCAATAGATCAGTAGATCTGTAAAACGCTAGTTCGGTAGATCGCTAGATCGGTGAATCTGTAGATCACTAGATCGATGAACCTAGAGATCACCACATCGCTGGATCAGCAGATCGCTAGATCGGTCGACCTGTAGATCTCTGGATAGATAGATCGCTAGATCGGAAGATCGCTGGATCTTTAGATCGCTAGATTGGTTGATCTGTATATCGATGGGTCGGTAGATGGCCTGATGGCTGGATCGGTAGATCGCTACATCGGTGGATCTGTAGATCGCTGGAACGGAAGATCGCCGGATCGGTAGATCGCTAGATCGCTGGATGTGTAGGTCACTAGATCTCTGGCTCTGTAGATTAATGGATAGGTACATCGCTAGATCGGTGGATCTGTAGATCGCTAAAACGTAGATCGCTGGATCTGTAGATCTATAGATCGCTGGATCGCGGTTGTCGGCAGATCGCGAGATCGGTGAATCGGTAGATCGCTTGAAATGTAGATCGCTCGATCGCCGGATCTTTAGATTGCTGGATCCGTAGATCTCTAGATCGCTGAATCCGTAGATCGCAAGATCGGTCGATCTGTAGATCTCTGGATGGGTAGATCGCTAGACCGGAAGACCGCTCGATCTTTAGATCGGTAGATTGCTGGATCTGTAGATCGGTGGATCTGTAGATCGCTAGATCGGTGGATCTGTAGATCGCTAGATCGGTGGATCTGTAGATCTCTGGATCGCTGCATCTTTAGATCCCTGGATCTGTAGATCGCTAGATCGGTGGATCTGTAGATCGCTAGATCGGTGGATCTGTAGATCGCTAGATCGCTGGATCTGTAGATCGCCGGATCGGTGGATCTGTAGATCCCTAGATCGGTGGATCTGTAGATCGCTAGATCGGTGGATCTGTAGATCGCTGGATCGCTGGATCTGTAGATCGCTAGATCGCTTGATCTGTAGATCGCCAGATCGGTGGATCTGTAGATCGCTAGATCGGTGGATCTGTAGATCGCTAGATCGGTGGATCTGTGCATCGCTAGATCGGTGAATCTGTAGATCGCTGGATCGCTGCATCTGTAGATCGCTTGATCGATGGATCTGTAGATCACTAGATCGGTGGATCTGTAGATCGCTAGATCGCTGGATCTGTAGATCGCTAGATCGCTGGATCTGTAGATCCCTAGACCGGTGAATCTGTAGATCGCTAGATCGGTGGATCTGTAGATCGCCGGATCTGTAGATCGCTAGATCGCTGGATCTTTAGATCCCTGGATCTCTGGATCTGTAGATCGCTAGATCGGTGGATCTGTAGATCGCTAGATCGCTGGATCTGTAGATCACTGGATCGCTGGATCTGTAGATCGCTAGATCGGTGGATCTGTAGATCGCTGGATCGCTGGATCTGTAGATCGCTAGATCGCTGGATCTGTAGAACGCCAGATCGGTGGATCTGTAGATCGCTAGATCGGTGGATCTGTAGATCGCTGGATCGGTGGATCTGTAGATCGCTAGATCGGTGGATCTGTAGATCGCTAGATCGGTACATCGCAAGAGCGGTGCATCGGTACATCTCAAGAGCGGTGGATCTGTAGAACGCTGGATCGCTGGATCTGTAGATCACTAGATCAGTGGATCTGTAGATCGCTGGATCGCTCGATCTGTAGATCGCTAGATCGGTGGATCTGTAGATCGCTAGATCGGTGGATCTGTATATCGCTAGATCGGTGGATCTGTAGATCGCTGGATCGCTGGATCGCTGGATCTGTAGATCGGTGGATCTGTAGATCGCTAGATCGGTGGATCTGTAGATCGCTAAATCGGTGGATCTGTAGATCGCCAGATCGGTGGATCGCTGGATCTGTTGATCGCTAGATCGGTGTTTCTATAGATCGCTAGATCGCTGGATCGCTGAATCTGTAGATCGCTAGATCGGTGGATCTGTAGATCGCTGGATCGCTGGATCTGTAGATCGGTGGATCTGTAGATCGCTAGATCGGTGGATCTGTAGATCGCTAAATCGGTGGATCTGTAGATCGCTAGATCGGTGGATCTGTAGATCGCTAGATCGGTGGATCTGTAGATCGCTAGATCGGTGGATCTGTAGATCGCTAGATCGGTGGATCTGTAGATCGCTAGATCGGTGGATCTGTAGATCGCTAGATCGGTGGATCTGTAGATCGCTAGATCGGTGGATCTGTAGATCGCTAGATCGGTGGATCTGTAGATCGCTAGATCGGTGGATCTGTAGATCGCTAGATCGGTGGATCTGTAGATCGCTAGATCGGTGGATCTGTAGATCGCTAGATCGGTGGATCTGTAGATCGCTAGATCGGTGGATCTGTAGATCGCTAGATCGGTGGATCTGTAGATCGCTAGATCGGTGGATCTGTAGATCGCTAGATCGGTGGATCTGTAGATCGCTAGATCGGTGGATCTGTAGATCGCTAGATCGGTGGATCTGTAGATCGCTAGATCGGTGGATCTGTAGATCGCTAGATCGGTGGATCTGTAGATCGCTAGATCGGTGGATCTGTAGATCGCTAGATCGGTGGATCTGTAGATCGCTAGATCGGTGGATCTGTAGATCGCTAGATCGGTGGATCTGTAGATCGCTAGATCGGTGGATCTGTAGATCGCTAGATCGGTGGATCTGTAGATCGCTAGATCGGTGGATCTGTAGATCGCTAGATCGGTGGATCTGTAGATCGCTAGATCGGTGGATCTGTAGATCGCTAGATCGGTGGATCTGTAGATCGCTAGATCGGTGGATCTGTAGATCGCTAGATCGGTGGATCTGTAGATCGCTAGATCGGTGGATCTGTAGATCGCTAGATCGGTGGATCTGTAGATCGCTAGATCGGTGGATCTGTAGATCGCTAGATCGGTGGATCTGTAGATCGCTAGATCGGTGGATCTGTAGATCGCTAGATCGGTGGATCTGTAGATCGCTAGATCGGTGGATCTGTAGATCGCTAGATCGGTGGATCTGTAGATCGCTAGATCGGTGGATCTGTAGATCGCTAGATCGGTGGATCTGTAGATCGCTAGATCGGTGGATCTGTAGATCGCTAGATCGGTGGATCTGTAGATCGCTAGATCGGTGGATCTGTAGATCGCTAGATCGGTGGATCTGTAGATCGCTAGATCGGTGGATCTGTAGATCGCTAGATCGGTGGATCTGTAGATCGCTAGATCGGTGGATCTGTAGATCGCTAGATCGGTGGATCTGTAGATCGCTAGATCGGTGGATCTGTAGATCGCTAGATCGGTGGATCTGTAGATCGCTAGATCGGTGGATCTGTAGATCGCTAGATCGGTGGATCTGTAGATCGCTAGATCGGTGGATCTGTAGATCGCTAGATCGGTGGATCTGTAGATCGCTAGATCGGTGGATCTGTAGATCGCTAGATCGGTGGATCTGTAGATCGCTAGATCGGTGGATCTGTAGATCGCTAGATCGGTGGATCTGTAGATCGCTAGATCGGTGGATCTGTAGATCGCTAGATCGGTGGATCTGTAGATCGCTAGATCGGTGGATCTGTAGATCGCTAGATCGGTGGATCTGTAGATCGCTAGATCGGTGGATCTGTAGATCGCTAGATCGGTGGATCTGTAGATCGCTAGATCGGTGGATCTGTAGATCGCTAGATCGGTGGATCTGTAGATCGCTAGATCGGTGGATCTGTAGATCGCTAGATCGGTGGATCTGTAGATCGCTAGATCGGTGGATCTGTAGATCGCTAGATCGGTGGATCTGTAGATCGCTAGATCGGTGGATCTGTAGATCGCTAGATCGGTGGATCTGTAGATCGCTAGATCGGTGGATCTGTAGATCGCTAGATCGGTGGATCTGTAGATCGCTAGATCGGTGGATCTGTAGATCGCTAGATCGGTGGATCTGTAGATCGCTAGATCGGTGGATCTGTAGATCGCTAGATCGGTGGATCTGTAGATCGCTAGATCGGTGGATCTGTAGATCGCTAGATCGGTGGATCTGTAGATCGCTAGATCGGTGGATCTGTAGATCGCTAGATCGGTGGATCTGTAGATCGCTAGATCGGTGGATCTGTAGATCGCTAGATCGGTGGATCTGTAGATCGCTAGATCGGTGGATCTGTAGATCGCTAGATCGGTGGATCTGTAGATCGCTAGATCGGTGGATCTGTAGATCGCTAGATCGGTGGATCTGTAGATCGCTAGATCGGTGGATCTGTAGATCGCTAGATCGGTGGATCTGTAGATCGCTAGATCGGTGGATCTGTAGATCGCTAGATCGGTGGATCTGTAGATCGCTAGATCGGTGGATCTGTAGATCGCTAGATCGGTGGATCTGTAGATCGCTAGATCGGTGGATCTGTAGATCGCTAGATCGGTGGATCTGTAGATCGCTAGATCGGTGGATCTGTAGATCGCTAGATCGGTGGATCTGTAGATCGCTAGATCGGTGGATCTGTAGATCGCTAGATCGGTGGATCTGTAGATCGCTAGATCGGTGGATCTGTAGATCGCTAGATCGGTGGATCTGTAGATCGCTAGATCGATACATCGCAAGAGCGGTGCATCGGTACATCTCAAAAGCGGTGGATCTATAGATCGCTGGATCGCTAGATCTGTAGATCGGTGGATCTGTAGATCGGTAGATCGGTGGATCTTTAGGTCGCTAGATCGGTGGATCTATAGATCGCTAGATCGCTGGATCTTTAGATCGCTAGATCGGTGGATCTGTAGATCACTAGATCGGTGGATCGCTGGATCTGTAGATTGCTACATCGGTGTATCTGTAGATCGCTAGATCGGTGGATCGCTGGATCTGTAGATCGCTAGATCGGTGGATCTCTAGATCGCTGGATTTCCGGATCTGTAGATCGCTAGATCGGTGTATCTGTAGATCGCTGGATCGCTGGATCTGTAGATCGTTGGATCTGTAGATCGCTAGATCGGTGCATCTGAAGATCGCTTAATCGGTGTATCTGTAGATCGCTAGATCTGTGGATCTGTAGATCGCTAGATCGGTGGATCTGTAGATCGCTAAATCTGTAGATCGCTAGATCGGTGGATCTGTAGATCGCTAGATCGGTGGATCTGTAGATCCTTATATCGGTGGATCTGTAGATCGCTAGATCGCTGGATCGCTGGATCTGTAGATCGCTAGATCGGTGGATCTGTAGATCGCTAGATCGGTGGATCGCTGGATCTCTAGATCGGTAGATCGGTGGATCTGTAGATCGCTGGATCGCTGGATCTGTAGATCGCTAGATCGGTGGATCTGTAGATCGCTTGATCGGTGGATCTGTAGATCGCTAGATCGGTGGATCTGTAGATCGCTAGATCATTACATCGCAAGAGCGTTGCATCGGTACATCTCAAAAGCGGTGGATCTGTAGATCGCTGGATCGCTAGATCTGTAGATCGCTAGATCGGTGGATCTGTAGATCGGTAGATCGGTGGATCTTTAGATTGCTAGATCGGTGGATCTGTAGATCGCTAGATCGCTGGAGCTGTAGATCGGTGGATCTGTAGATCGCTAGATCGGTGGATCGCTGGATCTGTAGATCGCTAGATCGGTGGATCTGTAGATCGCTAGATCGGTGGATCGCTGGATCTGTAGATCGCTAGATCGGTGGATCTGTAGATCGCTAGATCGCTAGATCGCTGGATCTGTAGATCACTGGATCGCTGGATCTGTAGATCGCTAGATCGCTGGATCTGTAGATCGCTAGATCGGTGGATCTGTAGATCGGTAGATCGGTGGATCGGTGGATCGGTGGATCTGTAGATCGCTAGATCGGTACATAGCAAGAGCGGTGGATCGGTACATCGCAAGAGCGGTGGATCTGTAGATCGCTAGATCGGTGGATCTGTAGATCGCTGGATCGGTGGATCTTTAGATTGCTGGATCGGTGGATCTGTAGATCGCTAGATCGGTGGATCTGTAGATCGCTGGATTGCTAGACCTGTAGGTCGCTAGATCGGTGGATCTGTAGATCGCTAGATCGGTGGATCTATAGATCGCTAGATCGCTGGATCTGTAGATCGCTAGATGGGTGGATCTGTAGATCGCTGGATCGATAGATCGGTCGATCTGTAGATCTCTGGATGGGAATATTGCTAGATCGGAAGACCGCTGGATCTTTAGATCGCTAGATTGGTGGATGTGTAGATCGCTGGATCGGTAGATTGCTAGAGCGGTGGATCTGTAGATCGCTGGATCGGTAGATCGCTAGATCGGTGGATCTGTAGATCGCTGGATCGATAGATGGCTAGAGCGCTGGATCTGTGGATTGTTAGGTCGATGGATATGTGGATCGCTTGACCGGTAGATCCCTAGATCGCTGGATGTGTAGATCGCTGAGTCGGCAGATCGGTAGATCGGGGGATCGGTAGATCGCTGGATGTGTAGATCGCTGGATCGATAGATCGCTACATCGGTCGATCTGTATCTCTCTGGATCGGTAGATCGCTAGATTGGAAGACCGTTGGAACGTAGATCGCTGGATCTTTAGATCGCTAGATCGGTGGATCTATAGATCGCTGGATCCCTGGATCTGTAGATCGCTAGATCGCTTGATCGTTAGATCGCTAGATCGCTGTTGTCGGTAGATCGCTCGATCGGTGGATCGGTAGATCGCTGTAAATGTAGATCGCTAGATCGGTTGATCTTTAGAGTGCTGGATCGGTAGATCACTAGATTGCTGGATTCGTAGATCGCTAGATCGGTCGATCTGTAGATCTCTGGATGGGTGTATCGTTAGATCGGAGGACCGCTGGATCTTTAGATCGCTAGATTGGTGGATGTGGAGATCGCTGGATCGGTAGATCGCAATACCGGTGGATCGGTAGATTGCTGGAAATGTAGATCGTTAGATCATTAGATCGCTGGATCCGTAGATCGCTAGATCGGTCGATCTGTAGGTCTCTGGATCGGTAGATCGCTAGATCGGAAGACCGTTGGAACGTAGATCGCTGGATCTGTAGATCGCTAGATCGGTGGATCTATAGATCGCTGGATCCCTTGATCTGTAGATCGCTGAGTGGGTTGATCGGTTGATCGGTTGATCGATAGATCGGGGGATCGGTAGATCGTGGATTTGTAGATCGCTAGATTGGTAGAACGCCGGATCTGTAGATCGCTAGATCGGTGGAACAGTAGATCGCTGGATAGGTAGATCGCTGCATTTATAGATCGCTAGATCGCTGGATCTGTAGATCGCTGTAACGTAGATCGCTGGATCTGTAGATCGCTAGATCGGTGGAACAGTAGATCGCTGGATAGGTAGATCGCTGCAATTGTAGATCGCTAGATCGCTGGATCTGTAGATCGCTGTAACGTAGATCGCTGGATCTGTAGATCGCTAGATCGCTGGATCTATAGATGGCTGGATCTGTAGATCGCTGGATCTGTAGATCGCTGGATCGTTAGATCGCTAGATCGCTGGATGTGTAGATCAGTAGATCGCTGGATCTGGAGATCGATGGATCTGTAGATTCCTAGATCGCTGTATCGCTAGATCGTTGGATCCGTAGATCGCTAGATCGGTCGAGCTGTAGATCTCTGGATCGATAGATCGCTAGATCGGAACAGATTAAAAAATTGGAATAACCCAGTATAGCGATATATCTGGTATATAGTATGTAGATCGCTGAATCTGTAGATCACTAGATCAGTGGATGTATAGATCGCTGGATTTGTAGATCTGTGGATCTGTTGATCGCTGGATCGGTAGATCGCTAGATCGCAGGATCTGTAGATCGGCAGATTGCTGGATCTGTAGATCGCTAGATCGCTCGATCTAAAGATCAGTGGATCAGTAGAGAATAAAGTTGGTAGTTGGTAGTTCGTAATAGTCATTTGTCTGACAACACTTAGGCCGACGGTTCGCTCGTTTTACCCCTGTCTCTCCATCAGTGCTTCGTTTTACGGGTGTTTAAAGCTATTTAAAGAAGTCGAAAGAAGGATTTGAGGTCACACCTGGGAATCGAACCCGAGACTTCCTGTTCAGAAGGCCGCGCACTAAACAACTACGCTAATCCTTCCTCCTAGTAGATCTGTGAAACGGTGGATTGATCGCTACATCGGTTGAACTCAGTGTAGGTCAATGGATGAGTAGATCTCATTCTGTAGATCGATGGATCGGTGGATTTGTAGATCTGTATCGGTGAATCTGAAGATCAGTGGTTCAGTAGATCTCTAGTTCGGTTGAATGCTACATCGGTGGAACTGTAGATTAATGGATCATTAGATCTGTGGATCGCTAGATCGGTGGATCTGTAGATCAATGAATCAGTAGATCTGTAAATCGAAGGATCAGTGGATCTATGGTAGATTGCCAGAGCGGTGGATCTGTAGATCAGTGGATCAGTAGATCTATAGTTTGGTGGATTGCTAGAGCGGTGGTTCTGTGTATCAAATTATTGGATCAGTGTTTCTGTCATGACTGAGGAGGGCGGGAGCCTTAAACGCACGTTGTCATTTTCGTGTCTCGCGCGTTTTTCTTGATGGACGTAGAAAAAAAAGGGAGACTGCTCGTAGACTATAACAAGGGCAGTAACAATAAGAAAAAAATGATACTAAAGAATGTGAAGTGGGATGAACTATTAGCCAAACAAAAGACACATCGTAAAAGGGGTGTTTACTCGGTGTAAGTTAATAAGCGTGTAGTAATAAAAGCGTCTGTTTTTTGTTTCAGCCAAAAGGTTTAACCTTGAAACAGAATGGAAAAACTTCTTTCCAAAGCTACGAGAATTGGACAGGGTAAGTTATATATTCTGTCATACTTACTCCATGTGACGAGGGAATATTATAGTCGAGTAAGCCATCTCTGCTTCAGCTAGGTGGGTGTCCTGTGTCTCCTTTGCCTCTCAACTTTGTTGTAAACTGGGTGTGACGAGCGAGCACTGTCTTATTTCTTATTATCAAATCACTGCTGAAGTAAAACGTCAGGATCATAAAGACAAAGGCCATCACTAAACAATACATTATGTTTTGATTTCAAGTAAATTAGTGCCGTGAATATCTGTAGAAAAGTGTGTAGAATTAGCAAGTTGATAGCGGGGTTTACCCATGTACATGTGTCCCTGAAGCCTCACACTCAAACGTAACCAGGGTCAATTGAAACAAAATTTCCAAATTTCCACCTTACAAGATGGCATCATTCACTTTGGGAATGAAAGGGTTAACAGAGCGAATTAGTTTCATAATGATATTCTATATTGGTCTCTTTACAGAATGAGCTGTTTGATAAAGCTCGTAATGAAATCCTGGATGAGGTGCTTACACTCAGTGAAATCACACCTCAGATGTGGGAAGACATCATCACTAAGCATCTGTGGTCAGAGGTCGCTTCACACTTCATAGAAAACATTTACCTTCCCGCGGCGCAAGCGAATAATCCCAGTAATTTCAGTACTTCTGTGGACATCAAGCTTAAACAGTGGGCGGACAGAACGCTTCCGAATATTTCGGTCAAGGTATGTGAAGCGTATTGAATTCATTTTAACTTTAGCATCTGTTTACCTTATTTTCTGTGCTATTCCTGTTACGTAACAGGAAAATGGTCGTTATCTCTGCGTAATGACCACGTGACCTGTCTGACCCTGAGTCCCAGGCACCTATCTTCTTAGAGCTAATGGACGTCGTGGAATGTCCTTGTTTTTATTCTTGCCTCTTTTCTGTTGACCTAAACGTGACACACTTAGGTTTAGGGCGTAAGTAATACCCATTTATTTGCTCATTCTTGAAGGATTCCCTTGCTTATAGACGTGCAATCTTGTGGAAAACTATCAGTTTGAACGAGCATGGAGTCTCCAATAGAAATCAGAATGAGATGTGCCATCGACTGAATTCAATGTTGTGTCACCTTAAACTGTCCGGTATCAAAATGATGATTTTATTTTACAATAGTTGATCATTTTTTACGGTAAATATTGCACATGTCTGATGTTAGCTGTTTTATTTTCTGTTTTAGTTAATACATTTCCTTATATTACACACAACCCCACAAGCTTGTTGGTTTTATCATTTTCCTGTAAAAATAAAAGTCTTCTTCTTCTTCTTTGGATGCTTATTCCGAAGCGCGGCTTATACGTACAACACACTTGTATTAAAAGGTCGTTTCTTCTCTTGCAGGTTGGTTGGGAAACGTTGTTCGGGGAGTTCTACAAGGCGATGCAGGTAGACGTTTGTTAAACTGTTTTGGTCCTGTTATTGTTAGTTCTGTGGAGATTCGTTGAAAATACAGGAAATAGTTTTTACCTCTGCCCTCTCACAAATCTTGCCAGAAGAAAAGGGTGAAGAGATTATATTGGATTTTATTAGATTTTACACTTCACTTGTTGTTGTGGCCGTAATGTATTAAGACTGGAAGTGAAATATGTTGCTAAGCTGCCCAAGGCGGGCCCTCATTCCCCCACAGAGGCCTCTTTAGGGAGTTTAAGCAACAACGGCGGCGACGGCGACGGCTACGAAAACGTCACTTAAAAAGTGAAGTCGTGCTGCCTCAAACTTTATCGCGCATATTTCAACTCGTTGAATTCGTCAAATGTTGGCAAATTTTTGTGGAGTTGAATTCTAAGACTGTATCAAAGTTCAAGAAAAAAAAAGAAGGTTGTTGTCTTCTGTTCCCGTCCTCGACAAAGCGTGAAATTAGACAGTTTCACGTTGTAATCGTGCAACGACGGCTTAGAAATGTACAAAAATGCGTGATGCACGTGCAAAGTTGTTGTTTTGCTAATATCAACCTATTGGTTTTTGCCGTTCTCGTTGCCGTCGCCGTCGTCTTTGCTTAAGCTCCCTTTGGTGTCCTGGGGAGGCTGGACAAATGGATTATTGTTATTTTTTTTGTTGGAATACCCAGTGGGAGCCTCCGGGGAGGAGAGGGACAGGCTTGTTTTCGAAAAGTAACTCAGTTGTTTGTTGTCACGGTTTAGGAGCAAAAGAATGAGAATGGACACAGTCATTTGTTTGAAGAGTTGAAATCTGAACTATCAGACGAATGTAAAAAGAGTCATGTGTGGCAGCCCAAAGCAGTCGACAGCCTGGTAAGATTAAAACGAGTGTAAATAACTTTCGGTGGTGTTGTTGTTTTTTTTTATGCTGAAGATCAAAACTATGATAAACTTACAGACTTTATTCCTGCCCGGCCTACAAACAAAGAAAAAAATAATGATTCAATTTGATATTGGTGAATCTGCCCTGGCAATATTCTGTTAATTTATTATTCTATTTTTAAGCCTCGACTTTGTAGATTTTGTGTATAAAGTTTTCATTTACGTCGAATTTACTATCTTATCTTTTTAATGTACATAGCGTGTAATTCAACTGACGGCGCTTGAAGACTGGTCTGTAAGTGAAAAACAGCAATGGGACTCTGCAGTGAAATTCATGGAAAATACCCTGCAGGGAGAATTGGATAAAGGTAATAAGGATTTCTAGGAATGCTGATATACTAACATCATTAGCTCTCAAGGGGTCCTAGATCGAAATGGAGACTTAAATTTCCTTGAGTTTGAAACAACATGTTACTGAGCGTAGAAAAGTCACTACTGATACTCAAAAGTGTTGGGAAAGCTACTACTTTAACCTCTTTTTTTCCTTCCTCCCGGCTCCCGACCCAATGTTGTACAAAACTAAGTGTTTGTGAGCGTAAATGTTCTGTTATTTGCCAACATTCGAACATTGAATAGGAGGGACGGAAGGGGGGGACATTTATTTCGCAAAAGGCTAGTAGTAGCTTTCATGTGAATGGTGACACCGTAGGATTTCATCCACAGAGTCAAAATTTAGAACCACCATCTACAGGAAAATAAACAGTACCACAGGAAAGTACTGCTCAGTAGCTTTCACTTGAATGGTCACACCATAGGATTTCATCCACAGACTCAAAAGTTAAAACCACCTTGTAGAGCATAATAAACAGTACCACAGAAAAGTACTGCTCAGTAATTCGAATCGTGACACACTGTCGGATTTCGTCCACGCAGTCAAAACTTCCAACCACCGTCTACAGGAAAATAAATACTTCCAGAGGAAAGTTGTGAAATGTCAGAAGTTTGCTGTTGAAACGTGAAGCACACTAACTAATATGCTGGATAACTTGTCTGATATTTTAGCCTCCCAGAAAATGTACGAGTTGCTTGGCCCCGGGGCAGCTGAAAGATGGCTATACTGGAGATCAAGAACAAGAGAGCAAGTAAGTTTATCTTTTAACTTCGGGAAAAAAAACGCTGTTTTTTGTCTCCGTTCACTTTAAATATCTTCTCCGAAATATTTTTCGTCAACTATATTCATTGGTTTCCATACAGAAATTTCATGAAAATTTAACTCAACAACGCAGTGTTCTAAACTTTACTTAAAACCTTTTTTTCCTTCGTATCTTGATTCTGTGTGGCAGGCTTTGGTTGATTTATGGCGAGGAACAGAGGAGTAGAAACTATGATATGCAAAGAAGTCTTTTTCCCACCTTTTGAAAACTCTTTTCCTGTTTTTTTTTTCTTGTTCTTTTAGCAATGTCGCTGTTATATTAAAGACGAGCTTCAACGATTGCTTCAAGCAAACGATGTAAGTAGGATGTTTCAGCATAGGCTTTCAATAGTCTAGGTAGGTTTCTCTGCGTCAGGATTGCTGTTTATGCAAATCTGAGTGAAGTAAGAACATGGATGTTGTTGTGAGAGAATTGAGTCGTTTTTATTTATCTGTTTGTTTAAATTTTCCCGCAGCATCACGGGCCTACTCTTGCCGATGATGAACTGACCACCGTCAGAAAAAATCTAGAAACGATTAACGTGGAGGTTTCCTCGGATCTGGTGCGTAGATTTATCTTTGTAATCGGTAACCGTAAATTATCCTTCCTCATGTGTGTTCCCATTTATTTAACGACTTTTGTGGGTACGATAAGGATAGAGCTCGCCAAAGTATAGTTTTTAAAGTGGAATGGCCGGTTATGAAACCCGTTAGACTCCTTTGTTAAATGTTTTTTGTTAGGTTTTTGGATCTGACCGTGCGCAACGTTTAATAACATTCCTATCATTTTGAACTTACCGACCAAGCTCAGGTTGTTCAAAAGCTGGATAGCGCTATCCAACTTTTGAGCAACTGGGGCCAAATGAATAGAAACATCGCATTAATTTATCATTCACAATCGCTGAACAAAAAACAAATGACTGTGCACGGTCAAAGAGGATCCAACATCAGGCACAGCACCGTTGTTTTCAACTTTGATGTTTGCCGGCTTTCGTAACCAGTCTCCTCTACTAAGCAGCTGACGACCTACCTAAAAATCCCTGTCGTATTCCCCCGGCCAGGGGGCCCAGGTATCTGCGTCGTACTTTGTTTTGGTACTCTGTGGTTACCGTTTGACGCCTTGTACGGTTGTCCTCGGTGGAGGACTGTGGCAGTTTGTCGCCATCGCAAACTGTATGCAAAAAAAATGAGACGAGGGCTATTTTGAATGCGGAATGGCCACTTTGCTATACTTCTAGAAAATTTATAGCTGGTATTACGTAAAGGTTGTTGTTGCTGGTGTGAGCTGAAATTACTTTTTTCTACCTCATAGGTTAATGAAACTTGGAGTCAATTGTACCGCGAGCATTTTCTAAAGCAGTCGTTGAACAACGTTCAAGAGTGTAGAAATGCTTTCTACAGACGAGATCTAGTTAAGAACGAGGTAAACTATTTAATCTGAGCGCTTTAAAATACGTCTTTGTAAGTGAATTGCCCAAGTAACAACGGGTTACGGGGCACATTGCTGTTCTAGGTCGGTTCTGTGCTGAATTCATTAATTAATGCCTTCACCCGTTCACAAAATTAAAGTTGCTGTGGAGGTATGAAGAAGATATCGAACGAATTTCATCAGGAAGCACTAACCATAATTTTTTGGTGATAGTTTTTGCTGGCATATCATTAAAACTTGAAAAAGTTGGCCCAACTATTTCAAGTTTCTGAATCCATATTCATCCTTGCCATCCGCTCCAACAGAGGACAGTAAAAGTGTCCATGCCTAATCATAGTCTTAAATCACAAAACTGGACCATTAGTTTTAGAATTGAAGACCTCCCCCCTGGAAAGGGAATCCAAGACAGTCTAGGATTCTGGATTCCACCTCTTGGATCCAGGATTCAAGGTACTGGATTCCAGATTCCAATCAGTAGTGAGATTCCGGATCCCTTGATTTGTATTCCGCATTCTAAAGCCCAAGATTCCAGAATCCACAAACAAATATTTCCACAAGCAAACATTTCCTGGATTCCAGAATCCAAGACAGTCTTGGATTCTGGATTCCTCACCGTATATTCTTGATTCCTGATACTGGATTCTATATTCTTTGTCAGTGGAATTGGGATTCCGGATTTCAATCGTTGATGGGATTCTGGGTTCCTTGAGCCGTAGCCTAGGATTCCGGATTCCACAAATCAAAATTTTCCTGATTCCAGATTCCACAAGCAAAAATTTCCCGGATTCCCGAATCCGGATTCGCTTACATGGGGCGAAAGACGGGTTTTAGCTTTTTAACCCTCTTATTCTCGATAGTGACCAACATCAATTTTCTCCTAACGATATCCATACAATGTCAAGAGATTAGGTTATGAGAATTAATAAAATGATCACCAAAGAGAAAATGCCAGGTCTATTATTAAATTCTCACCACTGATTCTTAAAGAAAATGTATGAAGATCAGTTTGGAGAATTTGTATGTGGATGTGGATGTTAGGGCTTAAAGGGTAGCAAACAAAAAACAGCGTGACATAGCCCCTTATTTGTATTTTCCCTCTCTGTTCAGCTGGGCTGCAACGACGTGGTCCTTTTCTGGAGAATTCAGAAAATGCTTCAAACGACGAGCAACGCCATCAGGCAACAAGTAATGAATCATGAAGGTAAAACGTTAATCTGCACTGAAGTTACAAAAGATTCTAACAACCAACCGAAAATTAAGCCCAGTCAGCGATCATTTGCAATTTTTTAATGAACGGGCGCAGCCGATCATTTCTCTGCCGCATTCAGCGCGCGAATGCCAGTGGCGGGAAAATTTAATCCTTGAGGTGCCGCCGGTAGTGGCGGGAAAACGCCGTGCCACTTTCCTTTGCCTGGAGTATTATTCAGTATTTTCTCTATGGATGCTTCTGGACTGGGACAGGGTTCGTATGGGTCATGGAAAACCTGGAAATTCTTGAAATGTACGAATTTCAATTTCCATGGTTGGGTTCAATTTAATAAAACTTCTGCAAGTGTAATTTACAAGTGTAGCTATTGTTTTGAGACCCTAAAACAATGGCTGCACTTGTAAATTACACTTGTAAAAGTTTTATTAAATTGACCCCTGAAGAATCATGGAATTTAGTAGTCTGTCTTGGAAAGTCATGGAAACTACTTTTGGTAGATTAGTTACTGATGGTAAATCAAAGACAAAGTAGAATGGAGACAAGTCATTAAACTGCGCGAAGGGCACGCATCTTAGTGAAGATCAGAGTTTGTATGTTGAAAAGAGTGAGGTCAAAAAATTTTCTGAAAAAAAGGAATAGTTAACTTTCAAAATGGAAAACTTTCAAAGGCTCGTAGAAAAAGTTATTGAAAGTCATAGACTTCAAAGAGGTCAAAAGAGTGGGTACCCTGTGAGCGATTATCGTTCCAACGTTTTCCTTTTTTCTGAAGGGATTCCATTATTTTCTTTATTCAAAAATTCTTACGTGGTAGCAGTATATGTTTTATTAACCGTCGTTGATCTCAAATATTTCACTGTTTGTTTTAGCTCGCCGATTAGAAAAAGAGGTGAAACAAGTTCTAGATGAAATAAGTTACGACTCAGCAGCTAAAGAAAGACTTATTCGTGGAAGACAAGTTGATCTAGCTGAAGAACTAAGTAAGTAAAATGCAAATGCAGTCGTCGTGCGCACGTTGTGGCAAAAGACCATATTCGATACAGCTATTTCGAGAAAGGTGTCGGAAAAAGTGCACGCGACAATCCCGAAAGGTATTGTGGGTGGTTTGGGGTTGACTGTTCTTCAAAGAAATTTGAAAGAATGGCACGAGAGGCCATGGATGTATGTTTGCGAGTGCTAAGGAAAGCAACAATAGAAGATTCAACAGCTACAGTGTCAGGAACAGCGTATTGATCATATCCCATATTACCTTTTGGGATGGTCGCGTGCACATTTTTTCCGACAACCTTTCTCGAAATAGCTGTATATTAAAAATCATACTTCGCTCCTTGGCTTGGGGGAATAAAACAAAAGAAATGTATTTTTTATTACTGAGCCTCAAGATGATTTTTGTTTTCGTTTTATTCCCCAAGCCTCACAGCGAAGTATGAATTTTAATATATCGGAATTGGTCTGCTCGTATAGTGTGACGTCAAAGGACCATTCTTTAAGAAAGGTGCTCGTATTGGCTTTTTCGGAGTTGCGTAGGGAACTGGGGCGGGTTTCAAATTTAAACTAATCGATAAACTGACACCACCATAGAAAAGGTCATGTTGAGATTGATACAAGTCGTACAAACCTCTGTAATTTTGTGACAGCGTCCCCCAAAACCATTTAAACTCTTAATTTTTTTCACGATTTCTGTGATATTTCTAAAAATGGGCAAACAGTGATTTTCAAATTAGTTCCTTCCAAGTAGTAGATGCGTGACGAATTTTACAGTGTAAAAGAAAAATTGAAAAATTTTAAAGAGGTTATATGGTTTTGGGGGACGCTGTCACAAAATTGTAGACGTTTGTATGATCTTTAACCATGTTTCAAGAGTCATAGCTTGATCCCTGTTCAACTTCAGAGCATCAAACTTGGTCAGATGAGCAATCTCAACATGACTTTTTATATGATGGTGTCAGTTTATCGATTAGTTGAAATTTGAAACACGCCCCAGTTCCCTACGCAACTCCGAAATGGCTAATTGGAGAGGTAAAGAGAGCTATCAATTTATAGAACCTAAAAATGAAGATTTGGCTATTTCAGGCCTCTTCTCGCGAAAAGAAAATTCTTTCCTGTGTGACACCATAGTTAGTAGAGGAGACTGGTTAGGAAAGCCGGCAAACATCAAAGTTGAAAACAATGGTGCTTTAGTTCACAAATTGTGACTGAATAAATTAATGCGATGTTTCTATTGGTCAGTAAGTTCAAAATGATAGGAATGCTACTGAACGTTGTGCACAATCAGGTCCAAAAAGGTACAAAAACCTATAACAAAGGAGTCTCACGAGTTTCCGAACCATTCCACTTTAATAACTATGGTGACACTGAATAAGTTTAAAAACTGGAAATTAACCCTTTTAGAAGATGAACATCAGCGCCTTTGTAAGGTAGTTTCGAAATACGCCTGGGATGTTTGTTTTGTTTTGTGGGATTTTGAAAGCAAATAAAGAGAGTAAAGTTTAAAAATGTTTCCAGGCTTAGCACATCAAGAAGTTTAGGTTCAAACAGGCGGATCATCCAGCCAGCCGGGTTGTCTTAATTGACAAAAGATCCAGCTGAGACCAAATGAATTGTCTTCTTCATGTGAGGTGTCTCTGCAAGTTATTATCACTTTTGGAACTAACTATAATGGCGACTGCTTTATGTCCTCGATTTTACTATCAGGAGCAATGTCCGTCCATGCTTTGTCACCTATTTAACTGTTTTCCTGCTAACTCAATATAATTAATGATTAACTGTTAGTGATAGCAGTGTCCAATGGATTGCTGAATATAACTATAACCACCAACATTATTTTCCGTCTCGTGAATATTCAGTGATGCAGGAATTGCAGCGTAATAGCGTTTCTGTTTGTCAGCCTCGATAGAAACAGTTTTAGATTCTCAGCTTGGTATTAGTAATGTTTGAATTTCTAGCAGTTTGGAAAAAAAGTGTTTCCTTTGTAACAGTATAGTTTTAATGCCCTCAATGTAGTTTTTAAAAATTTTTACCTGTGTCTAATGCATTCAACCTATTGTCTTCCGCTTTAAAATCGATGATATTTGTTTCTGGTTTCATTTTCAGAGCGTGTGAGACACATTCAGGAAAGTTTGGAACAATTCATAGAGTCTTTAAACAATGAAAAGTAGGACAGCTATGGCGAAGGTGCTACAATGGGGCAAAGATCGGAGATTTTTTGCACATTTTCTGTCTCTTTGGATCTCGATTTGTTGTGGAATTTCTTGGTTAGACGGCAAGGCAAAGACGAAGCCACCTGGTGATTGTACATTTGCGGTCATTGTAAAGTTATTAACGTAATTATCAATCGAAACAATCACGCCTTCATTTTTACACGCTGAATACTTGGCTGTTCAAGTTTGTGTGTGAATTTGAAGCTAAAGGATACTATTCAGCCAGTGATATTTTCATGTGTGTTGGTTGGTGTAATCTTCAATAAGTAAAATTCCTTGTTCAGGTAATTAAGTATGGAATTTTAGAGTATCATATATCGATAATAAACCATTCTATAAAAGGAAAGGTGTAAGACTTAAACGTGCGAGTCTTTCTATGTTTTCAAAGCGCAAGGTTAAATTCCAGACCTTGCGCGTGACGTTTTGAAATTCATTTTGATGTGTGGAGTGAGCTACGTACTGTATTAGTACTTTACTATGGTGCAGTTTCAGTATTAAGCTGCTCAAGGTACACTATATTTCTTTATTTCGTGTCTTTGGACAGAACGTTTTTTTTTTTTAGTGGTGCTGTTTATGATGCAATCCCAGCCTCATTTGTTCAAAAGATGTATGGCGCTATCTTTATACTGGAAAAATTACCGTTCAGTATATAAATATGAGTTCCCTGCTAGCAGAGGTCTCTCACGACGAGGCAAAAATGAGAGAAAGGAGTCTCTCTCCTTTCTCTCATTTTTGCCTTGTCGTGAGAGACCTCTGCTGGCAGGGAAAAATATGAGGGAAAACCAATATGTATTATGCGGTGGGTAACGTCATCTTGCACCCTTTGAAAGACTGGAGCCAGCAAATTATGACTTGCTTTCTGTGCATTATAACTGAAAACTTCTGAGTTTTACATTCCTTTTTATCATCTACTCCACTGTGGAAAGAGGATTTTGCGCTTGAATTCTCGAGTAATTAAACACTGCCTTGCGTCTAACCTGATTTTAGCTATAAAAAGCATTAGTATTTACTAAATCAGTGAATAGCAATTTTTGCGTGTTTTGATTGGCTTCCGTAACTCGGAATATCCTTGGCTATTCACAGTTTTGCGACCGGAGCCAAGCTGGCGTCTCGTTTCAAGACATTTTCGAAAGACGGAATTTGAGCGATAAATAAAGCAGTCGTACAAAGAAATACCAGAACAACCACGAACTTTGGCTTGTCAGTGTTTACTGGTAGGTAGAAAATTATTTTCATGCTGAATTTTCAACAGAAGTCGTAAAAATCAAATCACTTAACAAAATCCCCGAAATGTTTGTAAATTGTAAACAAAGTTCCTACTAAGTGACGTCTTTAATTAACAAAAAGTTAGTTTCTTCATTTTTATCCAACTGATTTGGTAAATACTAAAACAACTATCCCCCTCAGGGTCGGTGAACAGCGCTAGATATATGACTCGACCCTTCGCGTATTCACCTCCCCTTCGGGGGATAGTTTTATAATATTTTTTCTCCCTATGTTCTGCCTTTATATTAATTTTGTGAGGTTTATATTGACAAAGCCCACAGTTAATTCCTCGGCAGTTCTTCCCTCGATAGTCGGCTCCAATCGTTCACAGTCTTCAAGCAAAGAAGATTAAAAGTGGGTGTTTGAAAACGTGTTAGCCTCGCAGTTTTTCAAGGTTCATTTTTGGTGTGTGTAACGTTTGGTATAATGCTTGGGAAGTATATATTTTATTTTTTGGGGCAAGAAGCTGTGATTTTTTCGTTTGGAAGTAATTTCTTCGTCTACATCAAATGGTCCTGCATGGAGGACTAGGTTCCCCGTGGTGTGCGACTTCAAACGAAGACGTGCAGCAAGCAAATTGTAATTCATTTGGTTTATGATTGAAGTTTAGATACAGGAATGGATTTATCGCATTCGTCTGTGGTCCCTGTTCAGCAACCGTTCTAATTAGTAGTGTCTAAAGAAATGTCCCATTTGTAGACTCTCCAAGTCAAAACCACACCCTACCTTAACATCAATTTGCACCTCTGTATACAGCTACTTCTTTTCTTTTTTATTGAGGTCTTCGTTTACTTTCCAACGGATTGTAAACAGCTGTTACCATTGCTCTTGCTTGGCGCGTGCTTTAGAGCACGTGGGAAATAAACAAGAGTTGGTTGAGGCAAAACTAAGCGCAATAGACTTGCTACTTACAAAATTCAAAATGTATAAATTCTGTATTTAGGGCGAATCTTTGATGACGTCATTGTGTACATTTTGCTTTACCGGTATACATTGCATTTATTTCATAGAAAAAACGAAATGGTGCAAAAAAAAATTGACGTCAATGTCTGAGAGATGTTGTTAAACTTAGTAACTTGTGTAATATTCAGCTCTGCAATTAATACTTTAAGAAATATAAGTCATGAAAAATGCGAAAGAAGTGTTAATAAGTCAGTACATACTTTGTAAAATTTAGGAGTTTGAACTGGCATCGCATGCTGCAAGGAGTATCTGGTGCATCCGACTGAGAGAAACGGTAATTTTGCTTTGTTTCCTCAGTACTCACAATTGGAACACTTGTTACTCTTTTAGAAAAAGAGAAGCGTGCGTCAATTCGCAAAAAATGTACACAAAGATCCCCCATTCCCATAGTTCCACTGAAACGCAAAAATGAAGGATACTGATCTTTGAAATAATTCAGGGCTTGTATATTTATATTCATCCCTCAACCCCGTCCCTTTCCCCCACCACCACCATAACACGCACTGTGTTCACACTGAGTACAATTTGTGCTTGAAAGGACAAATGCAACACTTTAGTTAGCGTGATGAGGTATAACATCGTTTACGGTTGTCTATTGCCACTGCCAATGTTAAACCACTCGTTCATGTTAAATTCTCGCCTGCTTAAGGTTTCAAGTTTATTGTCAAAACTCAATCATACACCTGCATTTACGTTTTCCCTTATCTTCTAGCGACTTTCTCGCCTCGTTATATATTGGCTTTTGATTGCCCGTCACACGTTTTCAGAGTTAGAATATGAAATACACTAAGGAATCCCTTTTTAAGCAATGCAAACCGAAGTTCCCACGGGTATCTCTGCGGTTTCCTGCTTCCGCCGAGAGGCGTGCGCAAGTTGAAATGAATGAAGTTGACGTTTTAACATGTTAGAGTTTAATAGCAATGCCACTTTATAGGTGAGCATATCAATATACTCCCCAATCTGCAGTGAATTCGTTGCCCGCTTCAACCTTTGAGAATGGAAAACACCCTATCTGAGGTAGGTATGATCAGCAAAATCACCCATATCTATTTTAATTTGTGCAATGTCGAAGAACTTACTTTTGAATGAAAAGTCTTTGTTTTGCTTAATTTAGGAGATACAGAAGGCTGCAAAGCGAAAGAAGAGAAAGCAAGGCGTAGAAAAACGACGAAGAGACAAGATCAAGAAAAGTTTGGATGAACTATCCCTTCTTGTTCCGGAAGCTAGAAAACAGGTTACAGATCTCTCTCTTTTTCGGTACAAAATAATGAAAACTTGCATGAATTAATATAATCATTTGAATTTTCCCTTCACAAAGAATGGATAATTATACTCAAAGAGGAGAGCTTTAGCTAGCTTTAAACTATTTTCGTTTCTTTTGCTTCGCCTTACACAGATCAGATACCATTTCTTCCAAAAAGCAGCAGGCAACTCGATCGTAACTGTGTAACTTTATATTAGTTTTTGAATAAGTGAAAATAACAACCTCAGCTTAGCTTTTCCGAATTCTCTTGTTAAACCACGTACAGTGAAGGCAGATCCAGGATATGGAAAAACAAGAAGATCATGGAAAACAGATAGCCTACTACATAGTCGATCCATTCTTTGTGTCGTCGTGCGTTAAGACACAAGCAACGACCTTGTTTATCTCGTACCCAGATCTCACTCTGTCTTATTCTGAAAAGTGTCTCCCTTGGCCGTAGGAGATCTGGGTACCAGATTAGAAACAAGGCTCGATTTCTGGCACCTTCTCGGTCTTCCCCGAGAAGCATGAGAAGAAGAGACTGTTTGGGGGAGGAGCGCGGGCTCATTTCCCGAACAGCAGCTGGTAATCGAGTCTAGTGTGAAACTTAACTCTGACTTTTCGTTACACTCTTTCATCTTCCGTACCGGTCCGAGTTTCTTATAAGGTCATTTTGCATTTAAATAAGAGTGAGGGGATTCTATTAGTGGGAAAGAGGAAGCAGGAGTGGGAACAAGGGAACAAGCAGGGGGAGGGGGGGCAAGTTAAAAGTAGGGGAAGTGAGGAAATGTTCTTTTACGAAATAAGGGGGTTGTGGCAGGGGTGGGGGGGGGGGGGTTTCCCCGACTCTCAGCATTTCCAACTCTTGAAATTTTGCCCCGAAAATTACGGAGGGTTTAATTGGCGGGTGAGGGGGGAACTGAAAATTTTAGGGTTAGGTAAGGATCGGATGGAGAAAGGGGCCCTTGAGTCCAAACCACAAACAAATTTTAAAGCCCCCGGCAATGGTACAAGAAAATAAAGGATTGTGGGTACGATGTTGTGAGGGGAGGGGGGTGGGGACGTGTGGGGGGGGGAACGAGAGGGTGTGAATGACAGGAGGCTAAGTGGGGGGAGGGGGGGACAGTTTATATTGAAGGGGACGTTGTCTCGTTGTTCTAAACACAAAGGGGGGCTCTTGGGGGTAGGGGGGGGGGGGGGTTTCCACGAGTCTCAGACTTTCCTACTAGTTAGATTATGCCTCGTAAATTACGCAGGGTTTAATTGGCAGGTGCAGGTGGAACTGAAAGTTTTAGGGTTCAGTAAGGATCGGATCGAGTAACGGGACCTTTAGTCACAACCACAAACAAATTTTTAACGCTCCGGTAATGTGTATAGAAAAGTACGTATTGTCATTGATCTTAAATTAGGTGTTTGCGGCTGCGGGAACTATGTTTTAACATAGCCTCGGCCTTTCCTATCAGTAATACTATAACATATGTCCTTCTTTGCCGCAGGGTTTTAATTTGCAGTTGCAGGATTCGGGTACAACTGAAGGTTAATTTTAGAATTCAGTAGGGGTAGGGCTTTTAGACACGCCTGGTAGTAAAATAACCTATTGTCATTGACCTGAACATTTACGTCATCAGTTATCGGAAGGTCAGCTGTTGAGACAGGCAAAGATTCTACAGCTTACTGTGGATTACATTCGCTCGAGTAATTTCCGTGGAAACCAGGAGGGATTAGACGTCTCAAAGGAATTTCAGACTTCCAGTATGACGTCACGTCTTCCTTCATTGAAAACCAATGTCGTGCACGAAGCAAAGCAAGGTTAGAACTTGAGTCGCCTTGAGTTAACGCCAGTATCGTAATAGTAACGCGCATGGGAATAGACTGACAAAAGTTTCTTGAAATATACGTTATATAATGCCCTCGTTAGACATCGCACGCATCAGTT